TCTAAAGTTTATTATAAGACCTTCTTTTATTATTAACCTATAGGATATTAGATTAGTATAGAAATTAGGAGAGTATCTAACGTTATATAACTCTATCCTTACTACCTTTCTACTATTAGGACTAATACTATAGATAACTATAGTACCTACCCTATCGATTTTCGTCTCTATATCTCCTACCTATACGCTACTCTATACGTCCTCGAAAGTTATAAATAACTCTCGATCGTTATATATATATATTTATACTCTAGTATCGACTACCTAGCGCTTTCGTACGGGCTATATATTATCGATTTAGGTCTAGTTTTAGGTAGATATAATAGTAGTAGAGACGTTAATATACTTACTAGCCGGTAGTATAGTTACCTATACCGTACTAGGTACTATCTTACTAGCTACTATCTTACTAGCTACTAGACTAGCTTCGGAGGAGAAGAAGCTATAACCTTAGTCTTTAAAAGCGGTATTTACTTACTCTATTACTTTAACCTTTTAACGTTTCTTATTAACCTAGGCTTTCTAGGCGGGGTTAGCTTTTATTACTTTCTCCTATTTATCCTTAGTACCTTAGTTTCTTATATATAAAGGCGGCTTATTCTTATCGAATACGTCCTAATATTTCTAAGCTAGATACTAGCTATTACTCTAGCTATATAGATAGGGTCTATTAAAGAGCTAGGTTTTAGGCTTAGCTTCTTTATAACCTTACTATATCGAAAATATAGCTCTAGAAATACCTCTCTAGTTAGTAGCTAGCTTACTATAGGTAATTCTCTAGTAAGCTCTATATCGGTTAAGAAGCTCGGTAAACGTAAACGTTATATTATCTACTTTATCTTATAGTCTTAGGGTCTATATTTTATAAAACCTAGGAGATATTACTAAGATAGTATCTAGGAACTAAGTTAGAGTATTATCTACTTCCGGTATTTTCGCTCTCTTATACCTTACCTATATAGTCTCCTAGTTTAATAACTACTTATCGATATCGGTATTCCGATCTAATCCTCGATCTAGGGTACGCTAAAGCTAATAAAGCCTAGCTATATTTATTAGATTATACTCGGTAGCGAACCGTTATCGGAGGTTACGGAGGAGGTTATATAGTATCTTAAAGTCGATAATACACGGTTAGTAGTTAGCGTAGACGCTATTCTAAATAGCTATTACTACTACGTTTAGTCCTTTCTTCTACTAGGTATAGGCTACGTTATTATTAGCCTATTCTATCTATAGTATCTTATATATATCGACCTATTAGTCTTTATACTATATTTATACTTCTATAATTAAGATAACTTTCTTAGGTACTATTAGTAGCTCTAGTCTCTTATTATTACTAGGATTATATAGCTCCTATACGTCGAATTGTACTATAATCGATTTAATATTAGCTAGCTATATATCCTATATCGTTATATCCTTTAGTATAACGCGAGAGGATATACCCGCGGAGAGGTATTTAGTTATATTCGTTATCCTTTATAGATAGGCTTCCGATTCTTGATTTAGGGGTTAGTTTAGGGGTTAGCTTCGGCGACGGGGATGACGATATAATATCACTTTGACCTCAATTCGACGATAGCTAGGTTCAATAGAACGATTCCGGGCTTATAACTAACGGAAAGCTAGTATACGAACAATATATGATATAAATGACCAATGTTGATAACTCTAACTAACTAAAATGACAAAACCCGCTATTTTAACAATCTATGCGGACCATGATGTTTCCGGTATATTACCTGGTTTCTACCATGTATTCGGACTTGGTATTCGACATAAACTAATAATAAATAATAGTTAGTATTAGCTTTAAGTTTCAATTAGATTATAATTTCCTAGGTGTTAAAATAGACTTCTTTATTGTTATTAAATATTAGAACGTCTAATATCTTAATAGCCTTTATAATTAATATACTAGAGCTAATCTAATTTATAAAATAAAATATAAGATCTTCTTATTTATATATAGTAATATCTCGATAAGCGATTATTTTATCTTATTTAAGACTAAAGTATTCAACTAGAATCTTAGTCTCGATCTTATTAGCTTATAGGATTATTACTCTATCCTTAAGTACTTAGATACTTTCTTATAATTTAATATACTTCTAAGTAAGCTTATAGAATCGCTCTTTAGTTAATGTCTTCTATAGTCTTTTATATATAGAGGATCCTTCTCTAGTATTATTATCTTCTTCTTTAAACTTATTAAAATTAACTAATTTAATTATTTTAGGTATTAGGGTATATAGTTCCTAAGTAGCTATCTCCTACTTATTATCTTTATCTAGTATAACGATCGGTTACTTGCTATAGTTCGTTAGGTTTCGTTTCGTTCCGGCTATCTTAATTAGCTAGAAGCTCGGTTTCGGTTTTAAGTCGAGTCTTAGCTATATAATACTAAGTAACGTATTCCACAAGCGAGTGGGCCACCCAACCCAACCTACTAATTTCAAATACATATATCTCAACTATAACGCCATTAAATTAAATACACTAAAATAATCTATTCTCTGGACATGCATTTCTTTTATGACCCTGGTTTTTGTATAACCCGTATGTTGGTAATACTCTCGTCCGTGGCTATAAAGGTGGCGAGAGCCGTCTCTGCCGGCGGGGGGGGGGGGGGCACTTTATCTACTTCTACCGGCTTAGTAATCAATTGAGTAGCTTCTTAAACTAAGAGGCCTTCTATAGCGGGTATCTACCTCCGGGATCTAGTACGCTTTTACTTCTACTTCTCGTTAGCGGCGCGTAATTCCTTATTTTTATCGGTAAGTAAGATAGTACCTTATATTATAAGACGAAAGCCCTTTATAAGCTAGTTTAATATACGATCTAACGGGCTAGGTAGGCTCCGAGATCTTATACAAAGTAAAGCCTTAATTAATAAAGCTTGCCGACGTAGTTCTTTCTCCGTAAAGGGGGTTTTTAGGGTAAAATTCCGGCTCGATTTACTACCCCGGCTAGCTAGGGGGGTCGGGGTTCTAAGCCGGATATTAAGCTTTAAAATCACTCGGTTAGGTCTAAATAATACTAAACCGGCTACTACGAAGCTATTTTTAATCGTCTCCGATTTAAAAGCTTCAATTTATACCCGGGGGTATACTTTGAGGAAGTTAAGTTTATTAATATAATTAATCCGATTCTATATTTTTATCTTAACTATCCGATTATATAAGCGTTTTAATACCGTAAAATAACTAATATTAAGAGGTAATAAAAGATAAGATAGATAAGCTAGTATATAGATTAGTATAACTTTATTTTACTTATAAAGTTTATTAAATTTAGGTATTAAATAACTTCTATAGCCGTCGAGTATTAAAAGTCGATACCCCCCCTTCGTACGTAAAGAAGTAGTCGGAATAAAGAGCTTTTTAAGCTAACGAAGGCTAATTTTATTAGAGGTCTAGCCGTTAGGACTAACTTCGAAGCGTTAATCCTCTAGGAGGCCGTCGAACTATAATTTAATAAAGACTTTGCCTTTAAAAACTATATATAGAGGAAGGGCCTAGCTAGAAGTATTTATATACTTAATAATAGTTACCTACTCTCGATTTCTAGGTTATAAAACCGGTCTCGTTAAAGTTATAGATATCGTCGGGGTCGATTCTAAATTAAATGATTATCTTTTAAACTAAATTAAACTACTCCCTAATGATTTTAGGGTCTTTATATTTCGTACGCTTATAGTTATACCGTTTCGAGAATCGGGAGGAGAGGATAGGACGCCTTTTAACGAAATTCCTAACCTAGTTTTCGCCGACCGAAAGAACCGGGGTAGTTCTACGCTTTTAAAGAAGAAGATCTACTATTTCTCGTACTATAGAGGGCCGGGGGGCTACTCTACGTAGATCTATAGAGAGAATCTATTTCTTAAGAGATTCCTCCTTAGTTTCAGTCAATTTATGGTTATTAGCGCGTATACTAGGACGAAAGGTATAACCGGCGAGGCGGCGTTGTAAAGTTGAGCGAGGGACTTCGAATTGGCGTGCTACCTCACGAATAGTAGTAATTTCTTTATTCTTAAAAGCCTAGATAGCTAGTAAGATCCTACCCTCTTACTCTATTGAATTTCTAGAGCTTCGGGATCGAATTGGTGGCATGGTAGGTGGTTGAATTGACTAAGTGCTAATTCATGGACGCGTTTTGGGTTGGGTGGCCCACTCGCTTGTGTGGCCCACTCGCTTGTGGAATACGCTATAGAGAGTAAAAGAAAAGAAGAAAGAAAGGAATCCCTAAGATAGGATCCTTTATAGGATCCTATTACTATCAATCAAACAATATATACTACGCTAAGGCGGAAACCCTTAGTAGAATTGAGTTTCCTCTCTTTAGGTCGTCATACCTAGGGGAGTTACTTAGGGAGTAGGGAACGAAGGATATATAAGGATACTCCCTTATATACTTAGTTTAATTCTTTATCTTTAATTATATATTATTACTTATATTTACTTTTAGATCACTATAACTCTTTACTTAATTATAACTTAATAATACTTACGAGTAGACTAATACCCCGGTATAGATTTACTCGGCGCTCTACCTAGTATTAGTTCCTTAATCGCTTAAAAGGACTTAGGCTATAATAAGGCCCTACGTAGTAATAGCTTAGTTACGAACCGATTATTGACGTTGGATTATTCGAGGAGTATTAAGGTAAGTATACCCTGAACCTATCTAACCTAACTATGACCAGTTAGCTAGTGTGTAACAACTGGATCCCAGAGGTAGATACCCGATAAAGAAGGCCTTTTAATATAGGGCCGAGTATAGAGTAGATAATAGATTATAGAACTACTATATAGCAGGCTTTATAACCGAATGTGTCTGGTGATCAGGGGTGTGCGTATAGTAACTCCCTGTCAGTAAAGCACTGATATATGGAAACATGGCGTCGTTCCTAACGTTCAATAATTTGAGTTTGACTCTGCTAGGACATACCACCACCCCTTTACTGAACAAACACTGTTTATTTGACATGATCATTAACGTAGCAGATTAAAGAATAGAGTCACACGTTCATAATCAACATCTGACCCAGGAGGCCCGGATTTCGGGACTCCTCTGGCCGGCCCCGCAATAGCTTCCAAGTCAACCTTTGTCATGCCAGGGCGCAGATGGATATCATATGAAAGTGTAGCTGCATCTCCAGATGAATGAAGGCGCTGTATACCCACGAGTGCAACGATCTTTACCTGTCGCTGGGAAGTACTAGCCGCTAAACGTGGCCTGACTGTCAGTACACTATGCGACGGAGGAAGATGGACTGTGATATTCTGTTGTGAAACAAGCGACGAAGGGGGGATATCTAGGCAGAAGTCCGGTTGCAAAGACAAAGAGGCATGTGTAAGAATCCGAACATTACTAATCAAAGCCACCCTTGGGTCTGGTTTGTAGTTAGCTGAAAGTCCCGCAAATCTCAGTGAAATTCAAACCTTGGCCTGATCGCCTTAAAAGCGAATCCATGGGCGAGAAGCCGACATGCGGCTGGCAATGGGCTGGCAAGGGGTTAGCAAGCGCTGGGAGCCGAGTAACACTTTTACTAGGCGACAAGATGTCTACTAAGTGCAACGTACCTGAACCCGAAGATGAATGTTGAGGGACATCCGAAGAGACATCAAAAAACGCATTGGGGGGATTTTGCGAAGTGGGTATTGTCAGGGTGGCTGTGTTTGACATCGAGTTCGGTAAGCCCTGCACACTCATGGAACTGTTCTGTTGTTGCTCTGAACCAGATGGCGTGGTTATGGTGCTTGATCTGGGACTGTCGAATTGCCCCCCAAGAGAGCATCCTCGAGGAGACCTATTCATTTCTTGATCTGCTGGTAATCCAGCTCCGGCAGTATCTTGCGTATTGCCTTGGGATTCATTCTTGAACGTGACATCTGAGGGGTTTCCATCGTTTTTGGATAGTATATCGGAGCTCTGCCCAGGCATTTTCAAGGTTAACCTCTGCGCCATTGGGGGCGTAGTAGTCCCCACTTTCAATTTGATGCGAGACATCTCAAGGGTTCGATGTACCTCAAGGGGATTCGGAACAAGCTTTTTAGCTTCCGCAACCCGTCGGTGGAAGTGATCCTAGGTCTCCAATATCAGCATGCCGAACGCGACGGATGGCAAAAGCGTTGCAGTATAGGCTTACCTCTAAAACTCCAGCGAGAATAGAGATATCACTGTCGTCTTCGTTATACTCCCTAGCATTTCGCCATACATAGCTGACCTCCTCTTCGAAGGACTGCCATGTAGGATATGCGGTGGTTTTGGATGAATTCTTCCTGCTGTCTGTACCACGAACTCTCTTTTGAATGCTCCGTAAGGACACGGGATGTTGAATGATCTCATAATAATCTCGGTATAGATTCCGATCTGGTTTCCCAATGAACGGGTAAGAAACGTCCTCGCCACTAGTCCGGCTCATCAGTCTTACGCAAAAGATCAGGATCAGTGATACCCACTCCGAATCCTTGAGCCGGGTCAACTCGGACATAATCTTGTCCTGTGCAGTCTGAAGACTATCACCTTCAAAATCTGCCTCAGAGTCGGCCTGCGACTCCGGGGTTCGATCTGCTTCCTCTGGTGGCTCTGAGTCCAGATGCGACGACGGACGATTGGACTCCTCCGGAACCATGAAATCATTGTCCTATCACACGCATGATAGCTTGAATCAGCGATTGAAACATGAAATCCGGTCTATATGCGCAAAGCAACGATTTAGGGGTAGTAAATAGACATTTGAATAATGTAGGCCGAATTGCCCGGTCACAATGTTGCGATTGCCCTCCATTCAAGTGTCAAGGTCCAACCAATATGCATTGATGCAACAAACTGATACTTACGGAAACCTTTTGGCGTTTCGTTCTACGAAACTTCATATCTGAGGGAGCTGCGGCAGCCGCCCGTCGTTTTGAGGTCATCTCGGATTACTTCTGATAACGTCCCGAGTCGGGAGGCGAGTCACACATTGAAGATAGTAATCTCTCACTGAAGGACCACAAGTGAACTGGAAATACAAATTTAATAAACAGAGGGTCAAATTGATTGGAAGAATTACAAGCAGTGATGAGTATGGCAAAGGGAGATATCCGCGTAGACATTCCTCATCTCGGGACGTGTTGCAGACGCGTCCACGGGGTCGTCCCGGCTTAGGTAAGACGGATGGATACACGGGTTTGTACATACCGAGTTACATGTATTTATATACATACATATTGTATCTAGGTACAATATGGTGCCAATTGATACTAGAATTACCGGTATCAACAATTGAATGCTTCAATTTGTATATGTACTCCGTACTATGGAGTAGTATATGTCAAAACAACAACTTGAAATTTCATCTACTATCCTTTACACAGTGGTAACTTTGGTACCAAGTACGTATTGTGCATGCATAACCTGAGTACAGTCACGTGATTAAACAGCAGCGATTGGATTGACACCTGAGGCACTAAAAATGGTTGTTTCCCTCCCCCCACTATTTTCCCGAGTCCCGCAAAACAAGTCCGGTGATTGTTGTTTCTACAACTTACACCTACTCTTTTCTCTATCGCATCCCACACTCTTATTCTCACCTGGTCATTTATCCTCGGTACTTTGATTCCTCAATATCAAGTCATCTTACACAACCCTGGGGCCCTACAGGAGTCCTGTGAGGGTACGTTTCAGTTGTCGCTACATGCGATAATCATTCAGCCACATTGTGAGCCACATCCTCAGGCTACTTATCTATTGGCCTTGTTGAACACATGGAAGAGGCTGATACTGACAATCTGTATAGCTAAAAGACCTTCTCAATTCACTATCCCAATGGACATCGACCCAGCTAGGCGCAACAAGAAGCCCCGCCTCCTCTTGGAGACGGAGCGCGAGAAGCTTGATGAATTTGTAGACTCTATTCACTACTCGGCAAGGTGAGGACTCCATGCCATTGCGATAGACTCTCCATTGACTCCATATAGATACAACGATGACAAATTCGAATATCGCCATGTGCAGCTCCCAAAGAACATGCTCAAAAAAATCCCCACAGACTACTTCGACAGCTCTAAGGGGACTCTGAAATTGCTTTGGGAGGAGGAATGGCGAGCTCTGGGTATTACACAAGTACGTTGAACATAATTTGAGGATGTGCATGGGTTCGTTCTAGTTCTAACAACGTGCGCGCAGAGCTTGGGATGGGAGCATTACGAGGTGCATGAGCCTGAACCTCATATTTTATTGTTCAAGTCGGTTATTTGCGAACTCCTCCCTTGGCCGTGTTACTAACCGTCTTACAGGCGCCCTCTTAACTACCAGCCCCCTCTGCAACAATAGGTTAGTCATTGATTGGCGGTGTTGTGCTTGGAAATATGAGCAGCTGAGAAAGACATCGCTTTATGTTCCTTTATGTTCGTTCATAGCGGGCACACGCGCGTCCGCAATATTCCTCATTAGCGTCCACACAAGCTTCATAATTGAAGTTCTGGAATGAGACCAAGTTTCATTTTCTCCTTGTCCGCCATTTCATTGACACGCTAGACCAGGCTCTTTCTCCCTCCCTCTCTATTATGTCATACGGAAGACCAACGTCTGTCTTGTTATGGACGCCTGGACTGTGCTAGCGTGATCATCAAATCCCGTGTTTGGCTAGTCATTTTCCCTGCTGGACAGCGGTGAGGCTGCTACTGCTGCGCTTCTCCACTCCCTGAACTTGATGTGAGCATCTTGAAATATTATCCCTAGTCAGGTTACCTTCGAAGAATACTGTGGACGAGACATGGACCTTCTCTGCTTGGTTCCTCTAGCCGATGTCGGAGGGGAAAGCAAACCAAGTGTCCGCAAAAGGGGACAGGGAGATAGATGCATACCTGAACCATCTACTCGATGTCCTTGGTCATTCGGGTCCCAGCTTTAGTAGCCTCCCTGGATATTTTCGCTAATGGTTAGCAAATCAAGTAACTTCCTTTCCATTCCCACGATATCCACACCTAGGCAATTCACGGGTACAGAGTATTGATAACCCTCGTATCCATGGCTGCTTATACATAACCCCAGAAGTAATTTCGAACTCATGTCGGTTCCTTAAATGATATTGGAAAGTATGTATGTACATAGTATAGCATTCATACAGAGGGCAAGATGGAGTGTCTTGAACTCAACACATTCTGTGAACCTGAAAGGAGACCGATATGCTTTAGGCCCTGAGAAGAAAATTCTTGAAAAATCCGGGGTATATGTGATCAACTTCCCAATGCCTTCTGTCTCCTCATGTTCAGATCCTTGAGTGTCATTTCCACGGTTCGCCATTCACGTTTGGCTGGATCATACTCGCCTCTCACCTCAAATCGACAAAACCCATTAGGCCCCCTCAACCCAACTGGACCCGTGATAAAGAAAGCTCCTCGGCGAGCAGACCCTGGTGTCTGGGCCCGTTCATGGTTCAATCGTAACTTGAATGCCTGTGACGCCAAGTGTAGATCTGAACCCGGGCCGAGGTCTGGTAATGGCAACCGCTGTAACAAAGATATAAGGGAGGATGGATGATAGTTGGAATTCTCGGTATTAGGCGGCATATTTTCCTTGAGCCCATCGGTCAGGGGTGGTTGTAGTTTAGATTGATCTTTTCGGCCAATCCAGTTCCCTCCCTCGTGCCCGGGTGCGGCAGAAGAATCATTCAAGAAATCAAATGTATCCAGTGGCCCCCCTGCAGGTTTCCTGAAACGATCCAGTTGCCTTAGTAATATTACCAGATACGCATCTCTGATTGCTAGAGCAACATGAACTGGTTTCATGAAGGTCCGTAACCTGTCACCTATCTCGGGGTCCATCGGCTTTGCGACCCATGATATACTGTCGTTCTTAATCTCCACCCTGTCTACTGTCAGTATGGGAACCGAGCTTTTAGAGATTAGGAGCACATACCCCGATCGCACATATCCAGGAGGGGCACGGGTTGGAAACTGATGAACAAGCCAGAATCCGGTGAGGGAGAGAGGCTCTCCGAGTATCTGTGACATCTGCCTCCCCGCATTATCTAGAACGATTGTGGCAAGTTCATCTAGACTCGTAAGCGAATGATCATGAGCGGGGATTGAATCGATTTCTCACCCCTAAGCTTCTGAAGCTTCTTCCGATCCTTGGATAGCTTCACAAATTCTTGCCACTCTGGGTCCGATGCAGCGTATAGCTCGCCTTGTTCCAACCGAGACCAGGCAAGCGGTATGAACAGCACACCCTCGTTTTCGACCTCTTTCCCGGTGATTTCGCCGCTTCCTAAGGAGGTTTCACGCGGGGCTGTCTCCTCGGAGTTGGTCACTGGAGGTAGATCGGCATCGTCGGTATCGTCGTCAAATCGTACTAGTACGAATGTGCTCCAGAGGTGGAATGCGGTGCCGTATAGAAGACATTTTGATATGAACGACCTGAAGGATTCTGCGTTAGTCTAACCAAAGAGACCCTGATTTGACTTCAAACAGGGCTCCTTACCTAATCCAAGGCCGCCTAAACCTCACATGTCGTACATTTTCTGGGTTTGACAAGTTGGAACGAGTGTGTGTGGAACTGAAGACAGACGACCGTGCATGAGGACTTCGAAGCAGATACCTGAGCCGGAGCATTGGGAAAAGCCAATCCCTACAATTATTCTCACTAGAGTATCATCTCAATTTAGAAAAAAAAGGAATGGACAGAATCCTTGAAGCCTGATATGCACGAGGATTTGTGTTGCGAGTTTGTCAATGGCAACGGGCTCGGTGGTTTGGTGGATTATGTAACATGAGGCGGTGCAAGGTGGGCTTTGGGAGCACCCAAGTATGCACCAGAGTTATACGTACACTATACATACATGTACATATATTCATGGATAACTAGATACCTTTCATGATCTCTCGGAATAAATAGTGCTAGTGTTACTACCAGAACAAACTATTGGGGTAGGAAATTCATGACATGGATATTATACGTATAGGTAAATAACGAACAGTCGACGTAGATACTAGACCACGTGATAGCTTAGGTGATATCTTATCGGATGCCCCCAAGTCGTCCGTAACCAAATGGTATTCTGTCCTTGACTCCTCGCCGTTGTACCCAACAAATCTCCAGATATCCTCTCCAGATATCCTCTCCAGATATCCCCAGAGGAGAAACTTGATGTGGGAATCCCCACGTCTGCCAAAATAGTCTTGCCCTTACCTCCAGCCCTTCCGATTCTAGCAATATGCGCTTGTTGTCTACCTTCCTTGCCCTGGCATTAACAGGTGCATTGCAAGCAAATGCACTGGATGCTACAATATTCACCTTTCCCCCCAAGACTGCAACCTCTTCATCAGGTAGTCTCCAGCAACAGACAATATCAGAAGATGAGGCCCGGCTTGTTTTGGAGCTTCGTATGAAGTCCTCTGTAGCATCGGTCCTCGGAATGGTGGGTGCAGACACTGTGCACCACTTGAATCAGTTTGCTCGAGATGATCTCACTCTCTTTGGCGGAGCTACTGGGGGGATTGCTCTTAAGAAAAGCATCTTGATTCTGGAAGGGATCGACCAGGAAGTTGGTAAGTAGAAGCAAACTCACACTTGACTGGAAACTCTAGCTAATGTCATGCAGCTCTAGTCATCCAAAAAGCCCAACCAAACCATCTTCATATTCCTCAAATTTCCTCGCCCTTTATCGGATTTGATCTCCTGGAATCATTTGTCGAAAGCAGCCCCACTGCGAAAGGGGACCGTGGACAAACCTGTACATACTTCAACAATGCTAGCAGGGCTGCATCATCGACATCCCAGGTAGCAAAGCCAACTTTAATGACCTTCATATTGCCTTGCTAATTTTTCAATTATACCAGACTCCTAAGGAATGCCTATCCAGGGACCCCATGTTTGCTGATGGGTCTGATTTGCTTTCCCATGACTCCCTGCCACTAATTGATTCAGTGGAATCCTGGATAAGCAAGGATCACAAGGATTCGGCTTTGAAATTGTCCTTCAAGGTATCAAGTTGCCCCTACCTAACTAGTGAACGATTTCTAATTCCACATCACCAATTGCAGAATACGTCTGGTGATTCTCTTCTTAGAACCAAGCTCCTAGAGAGATTGCTTCTTCACCTAGCTAAAATATCATCAACCAGCAACCGAGAAATCACGACTGTTGCTCTACCCCCTGGTGTCAAATCAGAAGGACTCAGCCGCCGAGGTGCGAAACCATCATCGGCACCAATCACCCAACAGACTGCCTTCAGGAGGTCGACGCAGAATTCTGCGCTGCAGTCGACCCTAGCGCCTGTCTGTCATGCTTCAAACTCATCGTGCGCCGAATCTACCAATAATTGCTCTGGACACGGTTCCTGCTATCTGAAATACGGTTCGGGCGTTGAGGGAACGACAGGAAATTGTTATGCATGCCAATGCAAACAAAGTGTTGTTCAGAATAGCGATGGCACCACCAAGACAGTTCAGTGGGGTGGATCGGCTTGCCAGAAAAAAGACATCAGCTCACCCTTTTTCCTCGTTGCAGGCGTTAGTCTACTTGCCATCGTTCTAGTTGGTAGTGTGATTGGAATGCTTTTCAGTATGGGCTCACAGGAGCTACCCAGTGTCATCAGCGCTGGCGTAGGAGGTCCTAAATCTCAGATGTGAGTGAGCATATAGAAAGCCGTGTAGGTGTTAGGGTGAGGTTTTGGTTTTGGTTTTTTTTTTGGGTTTTTTTTGGCTGTCCTTTTGGGGGGCAAGGGCTTCATGTTCTTTTCCTCATTCACTGTCAACCTTTAGGAAAGTTTTACTTTGCTTCGTTTCTGATCATCCCTTCGCTCCACTACATCAAGATGGGACTTCCAGATCTATGCAGCAGTACATACATGCAATGTGGTGCAAATTATTTTAGAGGGCATGGGGCTATATCAAAAGAATGTATTGTATAGCATGTACAAAATAATACTTTATATGTACTCCAGTGTTGCGCACCGAGAGATAAATAGATATTCAACCAATGCACAGCTCATTCAGCCTGCTAAATGGACCAATAATTGGGGGAAACGATGGCTGTCAGCGGCACCATAGGACAAGGTTCCTCATAGCATGAAATAGGGCGAGAGGGAGACAAGACAATTCGTAAATCTCCAGCCGAAAGAAAAAAGATGGTCCTCATGGTCCACATGCGCCCTATTCCATGTTGCGTAAGAAAACGATAAATTACACATATCAACTCATAAACAAGGAAAATAAAACTCCAGCCAACATTTCAGATGTGGTTCCGGCGTAAAAATAATTTGCAGATTAGTCAAATCGTGAAGGGGTAAAAGGATAGCAGTCAAAGATCTATCATGTGGTACCAGCTTCGACTTGACGAGGTGTGCGTCCTTCAAAAGGCAGCGGATCCACAGGCGAAGTCCTAACTGCAGGTGATGGTCTTCCTGAAGAGGGAAAATGGATGGGAAACTGGCGGAGCCGAGTGGGAATCAATCGAGACCAGGCAGACTGACTCGAAGAATCCGAGGCATGGACTGAGTCCAAAGGTCGCTCTCGCACACGCTGTTCTCGGGCAGGAGATGTGTCTCTTTCCTCTGGCGATGTCGATTGAAATATTCGGCTAGGCAAGCCCATCTGGACCCGAAATCCATTTGCCCCGCCACCATTCCAAGCGACTCGAGGAGGTCTGAGAATTGCATCCGGGTGGGTCGAGGCTGTACGACGACCCTGGCGATCTGTGGCAGACTGTGATTCGGCCTGTGCACGGGGTTTGGGGACATAGTAATCGGCCTTGCACAGAGGGCAACATGCCCTTCTGCTAGTCAGCCAGGGGTCGACGCATGAGGCATGGAAAGCATGTCCACATGCAAGCCCCCGGATATCATCATCGTCCTCAATGATATCTAGGCAAATCGCGCAAGAATCGCCAGGGTTGGGCAGAAGATCAGCAGGAACAGCATTACGAATGTAGGCATCACCATCGTGGTCCTCAAGATCAATGTTCATGTTTTCGTTGGTCAAAGAATGCTGCCATTTCTCTTTCTGGGTACCTGCACCACTGGATTGTTGAGTAGAAGGCATCCCAGATACTGCAGGGCCCTTCTCCTCCAAAGCCTGCACCGGAGGGCCATCTTGCAGCTCTTGGATGGGGATTTGTGAGGTATCATTGGAATCCACTCGTCCGTGGCCCTTGGTGGACGGTGATAATGCCGCTGTGTGAACCCCAACCGCTGTTGTCACGAGATCACTTTCATCTTTTAGGCTCTGTGGTCTACTATTCGGAGCTGTGATACCTCCTTCTGTTGAAAGACCCTGGTTGGCGCGAGTTGATCTCCATACTTTGTACTTGACCAGTGGAAACCGCCCGTTGACTTCATCCATCGTCATTAGCCTTTTCTCCTTTCTCCTGCGATGAGGTCGTGGCATAGTGACCAAGTCTATGGGCTCTCCTGCTTCCTCGCTGCGGAGCTGACGGTTTCGTTGGCTATATCGAAAGCAATACTTGACTCCAACGATGATCCTGCGATAGCCGTCAGATGCCATCCCTGAAACGCCGGGAGGCTGGCTCGCTGGCCTGGATAGAGGGAGTATGAAGCGACATACCATAGATTTGTGAACACAACACCAAATCCAAGGGCGACGAAGAATAATAAAGGTGAGCTTGTAGGATTATTTGAACCCGAACCCTCTCCGCCGCTACTAGCAGTGGTGGTGGCAGCACTGCTGGAGGCTGATGTTGGTGTTGAAGACATTCCGACTGAAACTGAATATAGAAATGACCCTGATCCCACTCGGAATGCGGCCACTTGATTATTGTTGGAGTCTCAGTTGCCCCAGTGTCGATCCTTCATGCCTCAAGTTGTCTGTACAGGGTAACCCTGTAGGTGAATTTCGGGTTAGACTGCAGCAGATTAACTCCGAGACGAAGAGAGGGTGGCTGTGAACGATCCAAGGGTATGTATCCCATGCGACTGGATATTTGAAGATTAAACTTGATGGCCAGTGATGGATGATCGACCGTAAGCAGAACACACAGAACTTCATGCGAAGATAAGGTGAATGCCGGGAGTCGATCTCATATCATTATCAGTAGCAAAAGCAGAAGACACCTAGGCGAGGTGAAGAGAGACAGATTGGCAAGGGGAACAGAGAGAAGAGATAGAGACGAGGAGATAGAGAGATAGAGAGAAAGTGGATCAAAGCAGGAGACCAGGCTCCTGATTTAAGGATGCATGCGGCAGCCTGAGGCTGGAAATCACGGGACTTCGTACATTCAAAAGTCTCGGATACATCGAATTTCACGGGGTTCACAGAGGTTCAGAACTACATATGTAAATGAGACGTGTAAGGTACTTCTGAATACATTCAGGGGATGAGGCCAAGACTCCGTTTCCCCTTTATTTTTGGTGGTGTTTTTTTATTATTATTCATTTTTGAATAAATGGTTGTGAATTGCATGTTATTACATACCTTTATAAGGTACATCACAGTAAACTAGTCACATCCATGTACATAGTACATATAGCGTTATACATAATATTTAGTGTAAACCCCACAATTTGTAAACAATAGCCTTGAGTGAATTCTGATTTATGAAAGGTCAATTCACTATCAATTCTTGAAGATCGTTCTAGTTCTTATAGGTTCGGATTAAATTCTAAATACATATATTGTATGTAGGCAAAGGAGGTTGTAGTATGTAATTCTCCCTCTAGAAAAAAAATTAATAATAATTTACTTTCTTATCTAAAGTGAAAGAAGACTTGTTCTGCAATGTAATACATACATAGATAACTAGAATAGACACATTTATACATATATATATATATATCTCTCTCTCTCCCAAGAAAAGGTGAGCCAGATTAAAGTCTCACATGGCCGCTACACCGCTCCGTACATCCCCGAAACCCCTGGTTCACCTACAGCAGAGATCTATCCAAATGCAAACTTCCCTCTTCATCACATCTGCACACATCCAGTTTCACTATGACTGAAGCTAATCCAGTGGTCTTCTTTGATATTGCCCTTGGAGGTAAGTGGGCTTTATTGGCATGCTTTGGTCTAGGCATCTGGGTAGTCATCTCACATGAATTCTGCTAAGTAATATAATCCCATACAGGCGAGTCACTAGGTCGAGTCAAGATGGAGTTGTTTGCCAATGTCACCCCACGAACCGCAGAAAATTTCCGCCAATTCTGCACCGGTGAGAGCAAGAACTCCAAGGGACAACCCCAGGGCTACAAGGGAAGCAAATTTCATCGAGTGGTATGTGACCTAGCTCTGGATATTGATATAGGACTAATGCCCGCTGCAGATCAAAGATTTCATGATCCAGGGTGGAGATTTCATCAATGGCGATGGGACTGGGTCATGTACCATTTACGGCACCTCGAAATTTGCCGATGAAAATTTCACACTCACACATGACCGTGCTGGTTTATTAAGTATGGCCGTAAGTCTGAACACCTCACCGATGGGACTGCCTAGGACTTTACTCAGGACCTCTTACTAACAACAACAGAATTCGGGCCCAAATACCAATGGTTGCCAATTTTTTATAACAACCACGGCTACACCATTCTTGAACAACAAGCATGTGGTCTTCGGCCAAGTGATTGATGGGATAGACATCGTTAAGATGTTGGAACACACCCGTACTACCAAAGACAAGCCCAACCAAGATGTAACTATCGTGCAATGTGGAGAGATGTAATACTAATCACGCAAATAAAGTGATATATGGGGAAACCGCGTACAAATCTATAGCTCCTAGGATGGCAAGAAAAGAGTTTGAATCATGGAAATATATCAATTTCTAATGGCTGTAGTAACCAGGGCTCCTTGGAATATTTCATAGTGATGGACACAACAGACGTGATATCTCCAAACCTAACCCAAAAAAAAAAAAAAAAAAAAAAAAGACTTCACGGAATCCTGTCATCAAACCTAGAGCCTGAACTTATTCAGATAATCCGCAGCCAGTGAAATAGCCTCCTCGACTTTGTCAGCATTGGTACCGTTACCAATGGACGTAGGCCCCTTTCCTCCTGCTTTTCCTCCCACAGCGCCAGAGACGACGGCCGCCCAGTCGCTTGCCGAAGCACCTTGGTCACTCAGTCCCTGTGTCCAAAATCAGTATAAGAACCCACAAGTAATATTTTAGTTGCTTCCCCTCAAATTCAAGAAGGGTAAGACTGATATATTCTGTTACTCACCTGAGAGATGTAACATCCGTGTGAAACTCGACCTTGTTCAGAGTCGGCCGCCAAGAGATAGACACTCTTGCCCTGCATCTTTGATTTGACATGGTTGAGAGATTCACTGACAGCCTTGGCATTGGCAGAGATCGGAAGCTGGACCACAAGCCACGACTTGTCTTGATTTTCCGGAGCTGCGAAATAGGTGGTGATAGCGTCGACTGCTTTCTTCGATTCCAGTTTTTGTTGGGCCTTTTGGCCATCGAGGACCTGCTTATTGATCTTGGTAAAACGTTCGCGGAACTTGGCCTTTTGGACGGCGGAGATTGCAAGCTGGTTGAGATCCACCTGGACTTGCTTAGCCTCCTGCTCCTTTTCGGAGCCCAAAGGCAACGCATTCAGCCGATCAAGGCGTTGTCCGAATTCCTCGGCAACTCTCTGCACCTCATGTGCATCCTCTCCAGTGACGGCAATGATTCGGCGAATTCCCTTGGCAATGCCATTCTCCTCCAAAATGATCAAATCCTTGATGTCACCTGTCTTCTGCACATGAGTTCCACCGCAAAACTCAATGCTGACTTCCTGCCAACGGGGGTCCTTGACATTCTGCAGGATTTCCTCCAATTCCACACCGACAGAGACGACACGAACAGGGTCAGGGTAAGTCTCGCCGAATATGGCCCTAACGCCGGAAATTTGCTGAGCGGTGGCGAGCGGAATTTCTTGGGAGTAAACAGCACAGTTCTGTCGGATATAGTCGGTCGCCTTGGCTTCGATCTTCTCGAGCTCGGCGTCAGAGATTGCGCTCTTGTGGGAGAAGTCAAATCGGAGCTTCTCGGCGGCCACCAGGGAACCCTTTTGATCAACACCATCGCCCAGGATCTCCTTCAGGGCGAAATTCAGGATATGGGTTCCGGTATGGTTATTCCGGATGGGCCAGCGTCGGAGCTCGTCATACTCGCAAATGACAGAATCTCCGACAGCAAATGATCCGTATTTCATGAAGCCAGTGTGTAGAATGTATCCGGCATAAGATTGCACATCGCCAACTTCAAGCTCCGCTTGTCCGTCAATGATGATTTTGCCTGTATCGTTTTCCTGACCACCCTGTTCGGCATAGAAGTTCGTACAGTCGAGAATGACACCAAGCTGTGCCCCCTCGGGAACATCGTCAGTGCTATTGTGGAAAGTTTTCCCATGGTAGATAGCCTTGACGTGAGAAGTGATGTTACCTCGGCCAAATTTAGGCAAATCATCCGTTTTTTGCACGTCGTTCATTTTCTCCAGCTTGCCTAGATCATGAACGTCAAGCTTAACTGTGTTCTCAGCGGCCTTCTTTTGACCCTTGCTGGCTTCTTTTGCCTTCAAGCGAGCCTCTTCAAACTCAACATCATCAATGCGGAGGCCACGTTCCTCGGCCATAATCCGAGTCAGGTCAACAGGGAAGCCAAAGGTGTCGTACAGTCTCCAAACATCGGCGCCATGGAGCATATCAGTGCCCTTAACTTTGGCCTGTTGGGCGTATTGCTCAAATTGCCGTTCACCTCTATCCAAGGTCTTGGCAAATGACAACTCTTCCTCGTCCAAGATTTCGATAACATCTTGCTGCTTGCGCTTGAGTTCAGGGAACATTTCACCCAATTGATCCACGACAGTTGGCACTAGCTTAGCGAAGAAATTCCCAATATCGACCTGGAAATATTTCCGGGCATAGCGAGCTCCTCGGCGTAGGACACGGCGAATCACGTAACCACGGCCCTCGTTGTTGGGAATGACACCATCCGAAATAGCGAACATCAAAGTCCGCACGTGGTCTGCAACAACGCGGTAGGCCGTGTCAATTCCATCGGCATCTTCAGCACCAAAGTGGCCGCGGTATTCCCGGGCCCCAGTGGTATTCTGGATAGCCTGGAAGATCGGAGTGAAGACATCGGTATCGTAGTTAGAAGGTTTGTCCTGGAGAATTGACACCAGTCTTTCGAAGCCCATTCCGGTATCGACATGTTTGTTGGGAAGGGATCTCAAGGAGCTATCTGGCTCGCGGTTATATTGGATGAAGACGTTGTTCCAAATTTCCAACACATTTGGGTCGTCTTCATTGACGAGGTGAGCAGCGTTGCGCCCACCGATCCGATCATAGTGCACTTCACTGCAGGGTCCACATGGGCCTTGGTCACCCATTTCCCAGAAGTTGTCTTTCATATCTCCAGGGAGAATGTGGGATTCAGGAACGCCCACCGATTTCCATAGCTCTTTGGCTTCCAGATCCGGTTCCAATCCACCGGCTTCATTACCCTCAAAATAAGTAACGTAGAGACGATCGGGGTCTAGCCCGTAGACTTCCGTCAACAAGGTCCACGAATAAGTGATAGCTTCTTTCTTGAAGTAGTCGCCAAAACTCCAATTGCCGAGCATTTCGAAGAAGGTCTAGACACTTTGTCAGCACTTCTTCTGATGAATGATAGAAGTGGGGGTTCAATACTGACATGGTGATAGCTATCCTTGCCAACATCATCCAGATCCTGTGTCAGGTCAGTCAGTGGTCCAAAACCCCTCCAAGACCCCTCTTCAAGGTTTATCAAGGCACACCCACGTTATGTTTTCCACCGGCACGGAGACACTATCCAATTATATCAGCAACAGTTCCAAGTCCAATATACTCTTTTTTTGTGGGAAATATCCAATACCTTTTGCGAGTTCGTTGCGCGCTTCATTTTTCCAAATTCCGACGAGGCGTCAACGGTGCCTAGGAAGATGGACTTGAACTGGTTCATTCCCGCATTGGTGAAAAGAAGAGTCGGATCCGATAGAGGAGCGACGGGTGAAGAAGGTACTGTATACAAGAATAGCCTCAGGTCAGTCCATGTCGTTGGCGGGGGTGGAGGGGTAGGGTAAAAAAAAAGAGAATGGGCTCGACCCACCGAATGTATGGCCATTTTGTTTAAAATAATCTAAAAAGGTATCTCGGACTCGCTGAGCAGTCCACTCTGAACCGAGAGAAGTCATCCTGTCGAATGTGGGAGGGTTGGTTGACAGAGAGTGAACAAAGCAAGGAGAGAATGTTCTGGGTTGATTTCTGCGAAAGAGATGAGTCAAAGCCCGTTCCCCGTTCGTCACCACCCCAGAAACCCGCATCGAGCAACGAACTTGACCCCCCCGGATCTGTGCCCTTAGAAGTTCAACCACCTTAAATCTTTTCTTCTTCTTCTTCTTTTTTATCACTTGCAAAATACCCAAGAGAGACAGAGAGAGACAGACAGAGAGAGGGAGAGTGGCGAAGTGGATGGCGGGTGAGGAAAGTCACGGGAAGAAGCGCCCGGCCGAAGCTGACCCCGATGGCGCGCAACCGTTAACGAAGAGATTTGGACACTTGCGAATAGGTAGGCAATTGAAATTGAAATTGAAAGTTGTAGAAGCTGTCAAGTTAACATATTTGTAGATAATAGCGTGCCAATCTCCGCTCGGACCAAACCCAAGGGGCATATCGAGCATATGCAACATATGCAACATGACCATGACCACATTGACCACATTGACCACATTGACCACCACCAACATAATCAGCATAACCAAGAGCTCTCTTCCCCAAATGATGCAATGATCTTGGATGACACCAAACATACGACTTATATTCACAACCTGGATCAAGAATTAATGGAAGCCGACTCTCCTGGCTTGGTGTTTTCACCATTCGTGCAGAAAGTGCTCTCAGTCCCTCAATCCGTTCTGTCCGACTCGAAACCTTCAGGGAAAGAACTTGTTCTTTATACGGAACCATCTTCCCTCACGGTTCCCAAGGAAAAAGATAATGTTCGAAGAGCAATTCTTGAATCTCGAGCACGAGCTAGAGAGAACAAGGTTCCGGAAGATTTATACGATGATCCAATGGATATTGATAGTTGAAGTTATGTACCTCGGGGGAAGTACAATATGGGTAATTAGGATAGCAAAGTATATAATTTTGATATCTTTTAGGCCTGCAAACATGAAAAAATGTGCTTCTGAGTACTATATATTCTAAGGTACATCTACGTACAGTCTATACAAATATGTGCCATGCAACAAATCATGTTATGTATGAAGTATGTATGAAGTATGTAATATAAACGGTATTATTACTAATAATAACCTGAACACGTGACTCACCGCTCCCGAAAAATTTTCTGGTTTTTTTTTGTGGCTCCGACTAAAATATGCACTTGGCTTGATAAAAAAAAATTTCCTCTCTCCCCCACCATCCCTCTTCCCATCCCTCCCTCAAAATCACATCTACAATTTCATAATGGCCGATTCTGAGGTTTACGACGGTGCCGTCGGCATCGATCTTGGTGTGTTTTTGCTCTACTAAATTCGATCGCACAGCTGCTAATTGCCCTTTTTTTTTCGCTTTTCTTTAGGTACTACCTACTCTTGTGTTGCCAACTACGAGGGCACCAATGTCGAGATCAGTACGCTTTTCTCCCTCCAAAATAAATTCGATTTTTCTCTGAAATACTGACCATTTGATCAGTTGCCAACGACCAGGGTAGCTACACTACCCCCTCCTTCGTCTCTTTCACCGACAAGGAGCGTCTGATTGGTGATGCCGCCAAGAACCAGGCCGCCATGAACCCTGCCAACACCGTCTTCGATATCAAGTGAGTTCTTTGGAAAGAAATTTTTTTTTCTTGCGCAGTCTATCAGTTCGAGATGTGCGCATTCTCCACAATTCCAAATCCGTTCTAACTCATATGGCACAGGCGTCTGATCGGTCGCCGCTTCGAGGACCCCATCGTCAAGAAGGATGTTGAGTCCTGGCCCTTCAAGGTCATCGACCAGGGTGGCAACCCCGTTGTCCAGGTTGAGTACCTTAACGAGACCAAGGTCTTCTCTCCCCAGGAGATCTCCTCCATGGTCCTCATGAAGGTATGGCGAAATATATATTTCACATTTGTGGGATTTGTTTGCTGACTAGTTGGGACAGATGAAAGAGGTCGCTGAGATCAAGCTCGGCAAGAAGGTTGAGAAGGCTGTCATCACCGTGCCCGCCTACTTCAACGACAACCAGCGTCAGGCCACTAAGGATGCCGGTGCCATCGCTGGCCTGAACGTTCTCCGTATTATCAACGAGCCTACTGCTGCCGCTATCGCCTACGGTCTCGGTGCCGGCAAGTCTGAGAAGGAGCGCAATGTCCTCATCTACGATCTCGGTGGTGGTACCTTCGATGTGTCCCTGCTGAACATCCAGGGTGGTGTCTTCACTGTCAAGGCCACGGCTGGTGACACTCACCTTGGTGGTCAGGATTTCGACACTAACCTCCTCGAGCACTTCAAGAAGGAGTTCCAGCGCAAGACTGGCAAGGATCTCTCCGGTGATGCCCGTGCTCTCCGTCGTCTCCGCACTGCTTGCGAGCGTGCTAAGCGTACCCTGTCCAACGCTACCCAGACCACCGTCGAGATTGACTCTCTCTTCGACGGTGAGGACCTCAACTCCTCCATCACCCGTGCCCGTTTCGAGGACCTTAACGCCAAGGCTTTCTCTGGCACCCTCGACCCCGTCCAGCAGGTCCTCAAGGACTCTGGCATCCCTAAGAACAAGGTCGATGAGATCGTCCTTGTTGGTGGCTCCACCCGTATTCCTCGTATCCAGAAGCTCCTGAGCGACTTCTTCGATGGCAAGAAGCTCGAGAAGGTAAGACAAGACCGAACTACTTGATTACAAGTTCAAATCCCAGTTACTTACCTTTTTCTTTTTCTATAGAGCATCAACCCCGATGAGGCTGTTGCCTACGGTGCTGCCGTTCAGGCCGGTATCCTCTCCGGCAAGGCCACCTCTGCTGAGACCGCTGATCTGCTCCTTCTTGACGTTGTTCCTCTTTCCCTTGGTGTTGCCATGGAGGGCAACATCTTCGCCCCCGTTGTCAACCGTGGCCAGACTGTCCCCACTATCAAGAAGCGCACCTTCACCACTGTTGTCGACAACCAGAGCACTGTCCAGTTCCCCGTCTACCAGGGTGAGCGTACCAACTGTGCTGACAACACCTCCCTGGGCGAGTTCACTCTTGCTCCCCTTCCTCCCATGCGCGCCGGTGAGGCCGCTCTCGAGTGTGTCTTCGAGGTTGACGTCAACGGTATCCTGAAGGTTACCGCCACTGAGAAGACCTCTGGCCGCACTGCCAACATCACTATCTCCAACGCTGTTGGCAAGCTTTCCAGCGCCGAGATCGACCAGATGGTTGACGGTATGTTTCTCTGCAGACTGTAATCTTATGACCACATGCTGACTTGACAATTTTTAGATGCTGCTAAGTTCAAGACCAGCGATGAGGCTTTCACCAAGCGTTTCGAGTCTCGCCAGCAGCTCGAGTCTTACATCTCCCGTGTTGAGGAGATTGTCTCCGACCCTGGCATGTCCATGAAGCTCAAGCGCGGCAACAAGGAGCGCATTGAGTCCGCTCTCAGCGACGCCATGGCTCAGCTCGAGGTTGAGGACTCCACCCCCGAGGACCTCAAGAAGAAGGAGCTTGCTCTCAAGCGTCTGATTACCAAGGCTATGGCCACACGGTAAATGCATACATGGGAAGACATGAACATAGACTTATGGCCAACGAATTTTCCTCTTTCCCGGGACTCTGCTTCTCAGGGAATCTGCGCCATGTAGACCTTGGGCAGAGTTGGTCTCTGTCACGCTTTGTTTATGAAGCCGGGCAACTTGGGCGCAGTTTTCTTTTCTTGAAAAGTATGATTTGTTTTGTTTTTGTAGACGAAGTTCGCCATCTGCAATTTAATGACATTGTGATGATCTCCTCTCGTTGTAATATTTGGAATACTTGGTAGTTCTACATGGTTGACATAAGTGACTTTTTGACCGCGAGGCGGAAGGGCGGGTAACGTGAGAGATACTTCTGAAATGTGCGCCTCCGCTCTTTAACTTCTAACAACAATCTCTTCCACCATGCAACGCATTATAACCAGGTCAATTCGCTCGTTTTACCCTCGTCTTGTTGCACGTCCTCAAGGGACCCAGGCCTTTCAACCATCACATCTCCTACCCCAAACCCAGCGCACCATTCCTCTCAATCGGCGTGAGTTTGCCAATTCACCTGCCCTATACAAGAAAAAGGACAAGACCAAGAAAGCTTCTGGTTCTGCCTCTGAGCCAGAGAAAAGCTCTAGTACTCCTTCCGAAGATCCCTTTGATCTTTCCCAATTACACAATGGCATTTCCACAGCTATTGCTCGGCTAAAAGATGATCTATCCAAGCTTCGTGCAGGAGGACGGTTCAACACTACAGTCCTAGAAAGTTTGAGAGTCCAACTGAGCAAAGACAGCAAAGATTCGGCCAAATTGGGAGATCTGGCGCAGGTTGTGCCCAAGGGAGGACGCATGGTTACTCTTTTGGCGGCCGAGGAGGATGTAAGTTCATGATGCTCGACCACTCTGGTTTTCCTTTTTCCTTTTTCCTTTTCTTTTTTCGAGCTTCTTTCTTGTTCCGGCGTGAGCCAGCTATTGCTGTCCCAATGAACCAACTCTAATACATTTTGAGCAGCACTTGAAACCTCTGACTTCAGCGATCGTCTCCTCAAATCTCTCCTTGACCCCTCAGCCCGATCCTCACAACGCCCTTCAGCTTAACATTCCTATCCCACCGCCTACAAAAGAATCCCGGGATAAGAACGTCCAAGCTGCTAAGCAAGCATTCGAAAAGGCTGCTGGTGTAGTACGTGACTCTAGGGGTGCTATGCATAAACGTCTTCAGGATATGCAGAAGAAGAAACTCGCTCGACCAGATGACGTGCGCAAGGCTCACGATCAGATGGAGAAGGTTACAGACCAGGGCCAAAAGGAGGTGAAGGATGCATTTGAAGCGGCCAAGAAGACATTGGAACAGGCATAAAATGTCCAATTCGCAATCCGAAGAAAAATGGTGTGGGGGGGGGGAAACAAAATTTATAGCCTATGGCTATGAGCGTTTTGTAAAATATGACTTTGTAAATCTAGGTACAGACATAGGCATAATTGGGGAAAGATATGGGGAGAACATGGAGAGAGAATAAACCCGATCAACGAAACAAATATAATACAAATCACTTCTTGGCACTAGTTCCGAACCCTTAGGCGCCCTTGGTCTTGCGGCCAGCAGAGACAAGAGATTCAATCTTGGCCATGAACTGTGAGGTCTTCCCGGTTGTCTGGTAGGTCCCGTTATTCCGGAGGTTCTTGAACACCTCTCCCAATACGGCATGCCCATCTTTCCCGACTTCACATGTGGGATAGTTACCCTGGACGAACGTTGCCATGAGAGACTTGGTGGTTTTTGCGTCAATGGGACTAAACTCGACATTTCGAGGCTCCACAAGGTCACCCTTGCGCTGTGAAATTCGATCGGCACGAAGCTGAGCCAGTCGCTTGGTCTCTTCCAAAGCCTCAGCCTTCTCATTCTCGTTGTTGAACAGAACGCTCTGGCCCTTCCATAGGCGTCTTCCAAGCTCATGGGGCGGGATATAGCCATTGGCAACGCGGCCGCCCAGGCCGGAAAGCTTTTCATAGACGGCAGCCGAACGTGAGTTCAGGTCTGTGGAAATTGAAGGCCAGGTCTTTTTCAAAGTAGAGTAGTTGACCTCCTGGGGCTCATAGCGAATAGGGGTCGGCCGGGATTTGATGATTTGCTCCTGCAGAACTTCGTCGATAGCCGCCGCTTCGGCATCTTCGCCCTCGTCATTCTCGGAAGATTTTGCGTTCCTGCGTGTGCCATTTCGGTTACCCTTGGCGACTTTGGCGGCTTTGGCGGCTTTGGCGGAGGGTTTGGGTTTGCGATTTGGGGGTTGGTTGCCGCCTCGAACGTTGCGTGATCTCGGGCTGCGGATAATCTTAGGTTGCTCTCCACCGCTAGCTCGTGCCGCCGCAAAAGATCTAGCATCAATCACTCGAGGAGGACGAGATTGATACTGGTTGGTGCGAGCTGGGGGGCCATTGGGATTGCGAGGCCGGTGGGAAGGTGTGGCCGATGAAGGGCGGGTATTGGGTTTACGGTTGTCTAATGGTCATGTTAGAATTCAAACCCAAACTCCTAAACCAAATACCACGGCACAATTGCACAACCACGTTTATCTTGCTCAATGCCCTCTTGGATGTACCTACCGGATGGCTGGGTTCGATCTTCGGCGGCCACTGTATGAGTACAGGAGAACTGGCGAGCAGGTGTAGAAAGACTGAATTTTGCCCGCTCACAGCGCAGCGAGATCTGCCTCAGCTGTGGCCGAAACATATTGTCTTCTGAATAAACCAGGTCGTGTCCCTAGAACGTTTTTGGTAAAGAGACTTGATACTGTTCGACGCGGAAAGATTGAATGAAGAATTGCAGTCACGTGATGCACCGCCTTCCTCTGGGCGCCGCTCCAAATAAACACAGCCATCGTCAAGTCTTCCTTTTGACTCATTGCAATACCTTTTAACTGCCAAAATGCTTCGTCGGAAGCCAACAGCTATTGCTACCACGTCTGAGGATATTGCTGCTTTTGAAGAAGCCAGACTTCGCAAACTGTCTGAAGAAAACAAACACCCAGAACAGCACGCAAAAGGGTCCTCCAATGCCAACCTTGACCCCAGCGATGAGCTGAAGCCACTCCCAGGTGACAAGGCTAGGATTGTTCGGACCCGTGAAGAAAGGATAGGCATTAGTCGGCGTGGTTGACTGTCTGTACCGTGATCTCGAGCCCCTGGATCACCGTTGCATGTTGGAATGACTTATTCCATACCATAACACTTGGATATGAGGTACATGACCCAATCGTGATATGCTTGCATGTGTTCATTGGCCCTTGGCTCTTTTCTTTGGGTCATATCATTCATTATTAACAAGAAACAAATAGTGCAGGATCTTTGGCGATGAAAACGCAACACCAATCCCATACATCAATGCATCATACCCCATCATTCTCGTATTACCGCGAGTGATCGAATAACAATAGAGCGTGGTGCTTTCCATGTGTCAGATGATCATGACATTGATATGATAAGGGTTCCCCCTCTACCGATATCTACCGATATCCCAGCATATCTCACCATTTCGCCTATGGTGATCCATTGACTAGGACGTTGATTCAATACTGGAGAAGCGGAATGACACATTGGAATATTTCTCGACAAAACAGAAAACAATGCATACTACTTTGTTCATCTAGATCACAGCTACGGGGCATCTTGACCAAAACTGATGCTTTAAGTGACCCCCCTCTCTCTTTTGCCATATTTAGAGACTTGTTTGCTCTGATCAGATGCTGTAGCTTCAAAATGGACACGAAATGCAACACATACACCGAGGATAAACTGAAAATCCCTTCTGAATAAAACAACTGCTACCTTACCACACTGCTCTACTGACATGCCTAGCAATCTAAATAATGTCTTTTCCACAACTGTCAATTCTTTTCTAAATTCAGTATACCAAGGAGACCAATTAAAGCAAGCTTGTGATGTACAACGCGATTCATGCGTCAACTACCATCCCGGCCGGCCAGTGGTGTCGTGATGTTTGGACATCTCTACCCTCCTCAAACTATTCCTCATTGAGCCATGCATATGTCCACTGGCGCTTGTAATGTAAAAAGAAGAACAGAGAAAATTTGTACCAAAAGAGATCAGAAAATAGGTAATATATAGTGACAATAGCAATGGTTGCCTGGGATAGTTGGACAAAAGCTAGCAGGCCAAAAAGAGGAAAAATCGGGCAACTGAATGGAAGAGAGAACAACCCTGGAAGGTGGTAGACGATTTGTGTATTTGTGCGTCTCATCCTCGTTGGCGTTTGGATATGTTGTCGGGGCTAACATCAACTGGGTAATTCCATCGCCGTTTCAGCCCTTGTGGATCATACACACTAGCAACACTTTGCTGCCAGTCTCGTGCCGAAAACACAACTGGGGGGGCCTGGAACTGGGGAGGCGAGAGAGACTGGGTAGACGTGACAGAGGGCAGTTTGTTGGGTGTCTCGTACTGGACGGGGTATTGGGAGTTCATAACATTTTGTACACCCGGTTGTGAATTGTTTATCGGCATTGGCGGGGAGTTTGCGCTGACGGTAGAGGGATTCACAGAGAAAGCCATGTCCCATTGACTAAAGCGAGAGATTAGCAAGACACCAAGCGATGGTCGAGTTGTCGAGAAATCCAGTACGTACGTGATGATTCGGGTCGGGTCCCAATGGGTTTCATCGACCGAAGGGGCATCTAGAGGATGAGTTGTTGGAGGCTGATGGGCAACCATTCCGAGGGATTGTATCTGAGAAGATGCATCGGACTTCGAGTCTTCAGCACCAGTCGAAATCGGAGGGGTTACCGGAAGCGGATTGTAACGCACTCTGGATTGGAGTTGATTCAAATGCGGATGGTAGTGCGCATCCATAGGTGGACTGGGATGGTAGGGTTCTGAGGGACTCCCGTATGGGAAACTGGGCTTCAACTCGAAAGGACGATGCATGTCGGCAGAGAAAGCCAGTCTTAATGAATCGATCTGAGCTTGAATCTCGGCCATGGGCCAGGCGGTGGAGCACGTCTCGAGAATTCTCATATGACGGGTGAAAAATTCACGAGCATCTGAATTGAACTCAGTGTCGGGGGAGGTAATTGCAACCTGCTCGAATTAGAATGATTTTGCTACGAAAAAAAAAGAAACAAAATCCCATATATTGTTGAATGCTTACCAGGTGCAGCATCGTACAAGTCAGGATACAATAAATGGCAAAATTGATGCCTCTTTGCATGTAAAGTAGGCCAGATAGGCCGAACCTTTGCAAGATCGCTTCTTGTAGTCGACAAAGGCTTTTTGCCGAGGAGTAACACAGTGACATATGGATCTTCCATTCACCACCGGCTGCAAAAGATTGAGAAGCGAAAAGCTGAGGGCGATGTAACATAATAATGGCGAGATGGCAATGAGAATGCATATTGCCCACAAAATGAGATGGAAGCCACGGCGGAGAACCATCGGCAGGATAATTTACCTGTAAGTCTGGAGGAAGGTTTCGAAGCCAGTCTGCGAAAAGCGGGTTGTTTTGTACAAATCGGGCATCTGCGCCCCAGTCCTTTTGCTTCTTAACTTTGTGATAGATATCTGTAATGATGCGGATGTGATGTGCGTTGCGGACGAAATAGGCGTATTGTCTTGAGCGGTCGAGCTCGTAATGATCGAGACCTCGGATATCTAGTGTCGGACGCATGTCCACTGTTTCAGGATCGACTCCGTAATCCGAACGGCCTGCTTTGATCAGAAGCTACTTTTTTTGGGGGGGATAGATGATGGAACGGAATAGACTTACCTTGGGGGCCACCGATCATCACCTCAACCACCAAGAGAGCCTGCCACACTCTGGTGTACACCAAACATTCAATTGGGCCGAGTCCACACGGCTTGCCTTCGGCGTGATTGCTGTAATGTTCGTGGATGTCCAAATCTTTCGCCATTGAGACAATAGTCTTGACAGTTTGCCAGGACCGATAATAGTACCCTTTCTTTGGCAAAGATTCCCTTGCTTTTAGTAGCAGAAGTAATGCTTGGATAGTACTCAAACGTGGTACATCCATAAAGCTAGTCTCGTGTCCTAAGAGATGTCAGCTTTTGAAGACGGGTGGATGAATTTTTCAACATGGACTCACTATTGGCTAAGGAAAGCCACTGGGCGCCTTCTGTGGGCTCATCAGATAAACGGCCCGCACAGGCAAAAAGGGCCTCGAGAAGAAGGGGAGAGATGGAATGGCGATCATGCTGCCATTGATAGTACAGATGGGCACGAGATATGACAGGAACATAGGGGTGTATCTCATCAAAGTAGATCTTAAAATAAGTCATAACGTCGTCTTCGGTAGGCATGAGCTCAGGGGGAATTCGAATTGTCACCCCCGAACCGGTTCTGAGAGGTGGAAATTGCTCTTCAACCTCGTCCTGGACAGGGGCATCGGGCTCAATTCGATCGGTGCGTTGCCTTCTAATGTATGGGGCTATCGAAGGAGGTAGGGTGTTAGCCATTAGTCGCGGGAAAACCCGTAGAAAAAACAATGTGCCATACCAATCCCACTCTCGTCAATCTTTAACTCCCCTAGTACATCACTGAGATTTTCTGCAGTTGACTGATCGTTATCAACATACACATTCCGATCTGATGATCCCATTGACGGAGTTTGCGGCCCGGGAAACATTTGAGGCTGTTGAAAAGTTTGGTGCGACATTGTTATTGGTGGTGACTGAAGATCGTTGTAGATGCTGGGTTGAGCCTGAGGGACGAATTGGGAATACATGCTCATTTGATCATAGTGGGGGATAGTGTTCATGGTTGATTGATTGTTGTCCTTGAAAACCGGGGCCGCTGAAAAAGTATGAGAGCCCTCGGCTGCATTAGAGGGTCCACTGGTCTCTAGAGTAGACTCGCCCTGACCATCAGGGAGAAAGTCTCCATCTTGTCCGATGGTTGGAGGGACACAGACCAGCTTTAGACGAGTGCACGCAGAACAAGGCCACGTATTTGTCGTGGCTGCGTCACACTTGATTTTCCTTTTCCGGCAACCGTTACAGGCTCGCATCACTAAACGACTTGTCAGTATTTGTTGGCTTATGATGGAGGCTTTTCATACCCTTCAGCCTCTTATGGCGGTTATGCTCATCAACGAATACATAGTCTGACACCGATGAATGGTTAGTCCAAAATGCAAGGAATAGATGGTGAGGGACATACTTTTCTGGCCTTCTCTTGGGGGGGCCCGACGGGGGCGCAAATGAATAACCTTGCATGCTTGCTGGTTCGATAAAAAGTGTCGGGTTTGAAAAACGGCGTAAAGTGTGACGGTAGAGATAACTCAGCAACTATCAGGGTATCAAGAAAGGGGGAGAAGAAGAAAAAAAAGACTGTGCTGGAAGTTCTATCCACAAGGACCTGCCTCGGGAAATTGAAGGACGTTTGTCGGTGTGCGAAAGAGAAGGCAGAGGTCAAACCTCGCTCCGTGAGATGGGGAGTTGTCGCGAGTGATCCAACTGCGCCAAGAGAGGATAAGGATAAATGAAGAGAAAAGGCAGGATCGTGGGATGCCGCAGTAGCCTCGAGGCCCAGGCGGATTAATCGGGGGCAGACAATGGTTATGGTCGCATCAAGCGCCGGAGACGCTGTTCAATGACAGACTCCAGGTTGTCCAAAGGCTGCGATCAACTTGCCGAGGCTCTGGGGGAAATTGATCGGCAGAAGTCCCAAAAGTCCCAAACGTGCAAGTGTTCTGTAAGGCTGCTGTGGATTGGAAGATTTGCGCTCTTGGCAACCCGAATGCAATGTATATCAACTGCGCGAGGCTAGATACAGAACGAAAATCAGGTTGTCTTGGAACTCGAATGGATGTGGCGAATAAATTGTTGATTGCTGTAATAAGTACAAGGCAAATTAGCGTCGGTTCCCACACATGTAATTCAATTCAAACAAGATCGCATAGAATATCAAGAGTGCGCCAAAGATAACTGCTTACAAGTCGCGTAAGTAAAAAGATTTCGGGTGCATATCCATCAATATCAATGTTGCAAAGCACTCCACATTCGAATCAACGAGCCTGGCGCATTGCATCTCAATTGGGAAGATGTGAAGGAAGCGCGGAGCATTAGGAAGAGCAACCCATCATAAGTGGAGACAGGGAGAGCATTGGCGAATAGGCTGTATTTTAAGATTCTCTGGGAGAGAAAAAAAAAAGAAAAAAGAAAAGGGGAAAAATTAGAGCTTGGGTGAGAGAGAGGGAGAGAAAGAGAGAGGAAGAGAAGATCAGACGCTGAGGGGGAGGTACTGCCAAGTGTGGAAGAGGATCCAATAGCGCCCGCTGTTGTGGATTTGCTAGAGGGGCGATCCGGATATATATTAGTGATTTTCTATATTATTATCTTATATTAGATTGAGATCTAATCCTAGATTTATTCTAGAACCATCAAGGAATTATTCCAGTTGATTTTTGTGTAAAACATACAAGGTATGTGTATATATAAGGTCGGGTTATATAGTAGTTGATAAATAAGGGATGAGGACGTCTCCACTTAAGAGTGATACTGTTACCTTAGTGAATCAGTAGTACCTACCTAGGTACCCTGAGTTTATATGATTATTATTATATAGGTACTTATAACTATAGAGGGAAGTACGGAGTATATGGAATATATGAAGTATATGGGGTATATGGAGTACAAGGGAGTACATACAATGTATATATATTTATAACCCATAGAATTATGTCAAAAGTATATATAAAAGTTCCATTCTAAAGTAGTTTGAAACTCAATTACTCCGTATTTGGAAAAGACACGTTCTGCGAAACCTTGAAGAATTAGGCCAAAATTGCCCGGGGGGACTTCGGACAAAAAAAAAAAAAAAAAAAAAAACCATTAAACTCGGCTTGTCGATCATCCCGAGCCGCTGGGATTGTCAGGTTACATACGGAGAACGTACGGACTTAAGCTTAGTCCGATTATTAGTTAGTTAACTAGTCGACTAACTAGTTAACTAGTTAATCATGGACTATTAATAATATCCCTATTATCAGTTAACTAACTATAGGGGATAACTGCATTTATATCTCCATATAATATATATATATATATAATACATGTATGTACTACTCCGTACGGAGTACGGAGTCCTTACCGAGGACTTGCACGTGAACCTGATAAACGTTATCGCAGTTTTCCTCCCCCCCTCATCTTGGCCACACTTGACCACACTTGACCACATTTGACCCTGTGACTACAACATACTCTACCCTGGTCCTTGTACCCCCCTATTTCATCATGGCGGAAATGCAAAATTCAAACCCCACGATCCTCAATGCTGCTGATCTCCCCACGCGGTTACAACCCACCACTCGCAAGTCCGAATATGTTGGTATCTTCACATCCGCCCTACCCCTCGCCCCAGTAGACTTCGAGAGTGCCCTGTCATCTGACTCAGAGGATGACAACCTACTGGAGGAGCCCATTGATGAACAGGAAATATATGGTAAGACTCTCTTACACCTGTAGAGAAAAAAAAAAAGAAAGAACAAAGTCCCATATATCCCGGGAGATGATTGCCTAGCTCAGTACACTAAAATGATCAGATCTCATCTCGTCGATCTCCGATCCGGAACACCCCATCTCCCTCGGTGAATTAGCCGTGGTATCTCTCCCAGATATTGCGATCAAGCCAACCCTTCCCGACGTCCCTGATTCACCTCTGCAAACTGTCACCGTGCTTATCACGCCTACAATCACCCACTGCAGTCTGGCAACCGTCATCGGTCTTGGCGTCCGCGTTCGTTTGGAACAGTCCCTCCCCTCAAGATTCCGAATGGATGTGCGTATCAAGGAAGGCACACACAGTACTGGAGATGAAGTCAATAAGCAGCTCGCCGATAAGGAGCGGGTTGCCGCGGCCTTGGAGAATGGTGCGTTGATGGGGGTCATTGCTAAAATGATGGAGACTTGCCACTGAAATTTTAAACCCTCACCCTCACCCTCACTTTGTACTATAAGCGGGATCTGATTGCTTTGGTGATGCAAAATACCTAGGTACCTATCACCGGCAAATAGACCAGGCCCTCTCGTGTGTGACGACCGCCTACGACGAATAACTCTCTAGAGTTTGGATGACTTGCATTGGAAATGAGTATTAAAAGTACATATGAACTTTCCTACCACTTAAGATTGTTGACACCGGACCAAAGGACTCCCCCTCGCCTGTAGCCAACCCTATTTTTGCGTACATATGTATTGGAATTTTTGAGATCATGAATCCAGCACACCACTTTCCTTCAAACCCTTCCAAAGTTCCGGCTCCAAGAATTTACTCACAGTAACATCTTCGGCCAGACCCTTGCGTCTCCGAGTTTTCAAGACAAAGTCCCGGGCCGTGGCCATGGCAGGGGCCATCTCCAAGGGCTTAAGCTTGACATCACGGTCCAGTGGATCACCAGGAACCACACTCCACTTATCAAATGCAAGATTTACCATAGCTTGACCTTGTGTGTGAATGCGGAGATCGGTCTCAAATCCAAACGAGTCAATCACTGGGATTAAACCCCGTACGGAGTAAAGCGGCGTTCCTGCAATGGGACCATCTGACAGGACGTGACCTCTTCGGCGGGACAAGACCGTGTACACGGAAGCCACGGAGTCTGCAGGTCCTGTCATTGTGACAGAATAGATCGGCTCCATGAGACGCGGAGATGCCATGAGGAACGACGAGTATACAGCACGGCGGGCTGTAGGGATGATCTGGCCTCCACCGCGGTAGATAGCCTGATCGGCCAGGGACACATCTGTGAGTCTGAACTTTGTGTTTCGAATAGCTGAACTTCAATTAGCGTCACATTCATCATCTGAATCCGCGCCCAGACTGCGAGATCATTGTGGAGGATGAGAAGATTTTGGGTTGGGGGGGGGGGGGGGGTGAGGGAGGTTAAAAAAAACTTACGTTCTTCGCAAAGAGGGCCTTCCCGTGTACCCCAGCTGAAGCCTTGGGTGATAGAGTCCCTAACAGTACCGAGAAGCTTCTTATCCACTTGAGAGGGTAAAGTGTCATCTTGGAGAATATTGGGACCCATTTCATCCGGTCCAAATGCCCAGATGCTTCGCGCTGCAAGCTTATCCCAATCATAATTGTCCTCGAAGTATCGAGCAACCTTCCGAATAGGGTCCTTGATACTGACTTTACCACTTTCAATATCCTCTGCAATCCCATCATCTAATGGCTCAGCAATCATGGTGATTTTATTCTTCTTATTCGGAGTGATTGAGTAACACATGATGGCAGAGGTTTCCACCACGGTCTCACAGAAGCGTGTAACGGGGTCGGAGACCTTAATCTCCATCTCTGAGTATAGTTTTCGGAGGTCATGGAGCACACAGTCCATGTAAAGCTCGCCGGTTCCTAGAACCACATGCTCGCCAGACTCCTCGACCTTGGTAGAAATGAGGGGGTAGCTCTTGTTGATTTTCCGCAATCCATCTAACATCTTGGGGAGTTCTGATGGATTGACCGGCTCAACGGCAACTTTAAACACTGATTCAGTCATGTGCCGAATCGGACGGAAGATGTATGCCTCCTCGTCATCTTCGAGCTTCAGAGGCATCAACGTTGCAGTCTTGACAATGGAGTTGTCAATGCCACCCAAAAGAACCCAGTTTCCGGCGGGGACACCGTTGGTCGGGATGTTATAACGCGTTTCCGCAATCCACGTGTCGGAGATGGTTGCTACCACCATGTCTTCCTCATCTTCTGGCGTGTAGCCCTCGCCGAGAACACGGACCTGCTGACCAGGCCGCGCTGTGCCACTCATAATTCTTCCAAAGGAGTAGAAGCTTCCGGCGTCGGTACTGCTGAAGAGTTTGGTGACATGGATAACCAGAGGTCCGTCTTGATCACAAGCGACCATTGAGGCCCCCACCTTGGTATCCACAGGCCCAGTGTAGTATCGCTCCAATATTCTCTGGGCACCTTCCACCGGGGAAGGAACGTGCCGAACAACCATGTCCACAAAGCCAGTGGCTGGTCCAAAGAATTTCTCGCAGACTAGACTGAGCAGCTCCTTAGCATCGGTCTTGAGCTGAGATGGCTTCAAATTGACGCCGACGCTAGCCAGAGTCTGTTTCAAATCCTCGGGACTTTCGCTTAGTGTGTGAGAGTAGAGCTTGTAGATCGGCTCCAAGACAAACTTGACGAATGACCGCTTTGCGTTCTCCTCCACTCCTTTGCGAGTGAACTTTCGGCTCTGGGGATTGTAGAAGATGTCACCCCAAAGTCGCGTGGCAAATTCTGTCGAGTCCAAGCTCGGGTAGTTGTCTGCGTACATTCGGGCAAATGACTGCAATGTGAAGCACCAGTTCATCGAGCTTGAGGCGAATCCAACATTGCCTTTCTCGGGGCTCAGTCGTCGTCGTTCGCCTTGCCCTGGCAAAATGTTCTCCATAATCGTATTGACCTCTTCGATCACATGCTTCAACTTGAAGTAGGCATCATTAGGAGGAAGTTTGAGCTCGAGAATGAGGCGATCCATCTTGTTGACGACCAAGGTCAAGGGGAGATCTTCCAATACTGCATGCTTGATAATTTGCTCAGTGTTGGCCTGAACACCTTCAACAACATCCACAACCAGGACCACACCATCAGCAAGGCGGATAGAGGCAGCCACCTCGTCGACAAAATTCACATGCCCGGGGGTATCAAGGAGGTTGAGCAGGTGAGATTTGCCTTTGGTGCTTGGGAGAACGAGACTCATCGGTGCCGACTTGATTGAGAGACCGCGCTCTCTCTCTAGGAAATGAACATCAGTGTATCGCAGCTGTTCTTCTCTCTTCCGCCCCGTGCGCTTCTCCAGTCGCTCTGTTAGGTCGTGCGTCTGTTTGACCAACATATCCATGAAAGCAGTCTTTCCATGGTGCAGGTGACCAACGATTGCAATGTTCCTTATCTGTGATGGGAAGTTCAGCAGATCGGACATGAACTCCCGAGAGAAGTGTACGGGTGGGAGTTCGGTCTCTGCAATCGCAAATTTCTTCTGCTGGACGGGGGCAATGATGGGCTCTGATAATGGCTGGGCATCTTCCTCCTGGACCATGGTTTCGACATCCTCGCCATAGATTTGTTGTGCGCTAGGGTAGTATTGCTTGTCTTCGTGCAATATGACCGCATTCGAAGGACCCTCTGGGGAAGAAGACGTGAAATTAGCAAGATTGCAGACTGTGAATAAGATATGTCGACATACCATCGACTTCCATCAACTGTTGATCATTAACTTCCTCTTCTTCTTCATCATCGAAAGCCTCATCGAACTTGAAGGCTTGAGGTTGGACATCTTCATGATGCTCCTCGTCGGATTCCGCATCGCCAATGTAGTTACCAAACCTAAGCACAATTAGCAAGGTCATGGATTTAGAGAGTTTTAGAAGAGGGGGGAAAATCAACATACTCATCATAGAGGTCATCCATAATGAATTATAGAGAAGGTGAACGTGTGGTAAAAAAAAAAGAGGGACCGTAGCTCCAAACGCGTGATGCCGGAGAAGTCGAGGATCTCAACTTTCACTTGGTCCGAGCGTCTTGTCGGAGTACTCGTGCCTACACCGTACAGCTCCTCACTCCCCACCATACAATTTACTCTTATAGACGCCCCTCCCTCTTTGATCTCTACTTCTTTCTTTCTCTCTCTCTGTGTATCCTTCGTATCTCATCTACTTCAACCTCCCCCCCCCCTTTTTTTTTTGAAAAAAAACCATGTCTTCTCTTCCTCCCGTCTACATTGTTTCTACTGCCCGTACTCCCGTGGGCTCTTTCCTGGGGTGAGCATTACTGTATTCTTCTTTCTCCCCTGAAGACTAATCTGACATTGGGTACTATAGCTCCCTTTCCAGCTTGACTGCTCCCCAGCTTGGTGCACATGCCATTAAGGGTACGAAATATAACCCAAGTTATATCACACCCATCTTCAATGCTAATAATAATTTGTAGCTGCCGTCGAGCGGGCTGAGGGCATCAATGCCTCTGATGTCGAAGAGGTCTTCTTCGGTAACGTCTTGTCTGCTGGGTAAGTTGTCTGTTATACATCTTATACCGCAATTGAGACTGATAATTTCGTTCCTAGTGTTGGACAGAACCCCGCCAGACAGTGCGCCATCGGTGCTGGTCTGAGCGAATCTACCGTCTGCACTACTGTCAACAAGGTCTGCGCTTCTGGCCTGAAGGCTATCATTCTTGGTGCTCAGACTATCATGACCGGAAATGCCGATATTGTTGTCGCTGGTGGAACTGAGTCCATGTCGAACACACCTCACTACCTGCAAACCTCTCGCAGCGGTACCAAGTTTGGCAGCCAGACCCTGGTTGATGGTATCCAGAAGGATGGTTTGACTGATGCCTACGGCAAGCAAGATCTTATGGGTGTTGCGGCCGAGGAGTGCGCCGAGGATCACGGCTTCAACCGTGCCCAGCAGGATGAGTATGCTATCCGCAGCTATGAGAAGGCCCAGGCCGCCCAGAAGGCCGGTGCTTTCGACTCTGAGATTGCCCCTATTGAGATCCCCGGCTTCCGTGGCAAGCCTGGTGTGACTGTTTCCCAAGATGATGAGCCCAAGAACGTGAGGACCGCTTATTTTCTGCATTAGGTTATTGTGACTTTGACTGACCATTCCTCGCTTATAGCTCAACCCCGAGAAGCTCCGCGCCATGAAGCCTGCCTTCATCCCCGGCACTGGAACCGTGACTGCCCCTAACTCTTCGCCCCTGAACGACGGTTCCGCCGCCGTTGTCTTAGTTTCCGAGGCTAAGGTGAAGGAGCTCGGCCTCAAGCCTATTGCCAAGATCCTGGGTTGGGGTGATGCTGCGCAGAAGCCCAGCAAGTTCACCACTGCTCCTGCTTTGGCTATTCCCAAGGCCCTCAAGCACGCCGGTGTAACCCAGGACTCCATCGATGCCTTTGAGATCAACGAAGCGTTCAGTGTTGTGGCTCTTGCCAATCTGAAGCTCCTCGGTCTCTCCGAGGACAAGGTCAACATCCACGGTGGTGCAGTCGCCATTGGACACCCTCTCGGTGCCAGTGGTGCCCGTATTGTGTCTACCCTCCTCGGTGTCTTAAGCGCCAAGGGTGGCAAGCTTGGTTGCGTCGGCATCTGTAACGGTGGTGGCGGTGCCAGTGCCCTGGTGATTGAGTCCATTTAAAGAGTAAACTCTGTTGACAAAAAAACGGAGATGTGAAACGACCTTCGATCTTTGCATGTGAAATACCAAGTTCATTTTTTGACGGGAAGATACTCGGTAGTTTTCTGCAGACATACCCCATCCTGCATCGACGAACATTCGCAGTATCAGTACCATTTCTCGGTATCTAGAATAGTTAATGAGATATCCTTGTGTGTTTATATCCTGCTTTCCACTTGTTGCTTCGTGTTGGTCTCAGATGAAGTCCGAGTCGGCTTTGAGGGCCGATCTTCCAGCATTTCAACGCTAAGGCACTCTCTCGTATAATATTGCCATCTCTATTTCGACTCATTGGTTACGGGAATCTTGGACGGCATCAATGCATTCAATAGAGTGGTTCAGGAATACTTATACACCTATATATAGTAGTCACTCTGCCCAGGTGAGAAGCCCTGGGGTATAACCTCGATAGCCTGATATTGTCCACATCTCCATACCATCTAGGACCTCAGCCATGATACCCAAAACCGAAAAAGACAACGAGAACATTGAGATATCTATGACCTTCTAGAATCGTTTGTAAGGAGAGGAATATGAACGAATGATATCGGGGATATTGTAAGAGATGGGCCGCTCTTCTGGTGTAGACTTCATTCCAAAAAGAGTTCCCACTTATGGACAGATACAACACTCTAGGTCCCGAACTCATATAGGGCAGGTCTCAAGCAAGACATTTAATGGCGATAATATTCAACACACCGCTTTCATTGGAAGCCTCGTCATCGCAACTAGTCTCTTAGCGAGAGGAATCCTTTGAGAAGTCTTTGGTTGTGTTGGGCAAAGAGGATCCTCCACTATTTGTAGATTACGGTTGCAATATCAGTACTCGGTATAGCTAACGGATTTTACGTCAACTTTTCGTGAGTGGAACTTTTTGTAAAGAAAAAGAACTAAATCTAACCAAAGTCTCATCAAGTGTGTTTCATGTGTTTCATGCGTTTCATGCGTTTCAGGAGAACCCCCCGGGGGATTTAGTATATCCACATATAATTCCTGAAATGAAGAGTATTATTAATTTGGTACACATTGAGAGAAAGGGAAAATCGCTCGCTTCGTTAAATCTATCAGACATTATAATCGATAATTCCCAATAATTAATGCTTTTAAGCAAAGGCCCCGACGAATGCCATGAGGAGAGCACCGCAGGCAACAGACACACAAGCCTCAACACGTCGTCTGCCCTTGAGGGTCTTATAACTCGACTCACTCAAGAAGTCCTCGGCAAGGAGTTCCACCAGACCCGCGAAGAGCAAAAGACCACTGCTAATGGCATTGGTGATGCCAACCATCAGCAGACCTGTTGCGCTGGCAGGATCGTAGAAATTGTGTAGAACCAAACCAATAGCTTGACCGAAGGGAGTTGTCATTCCGTATGCCAGTGACATGAGCCATGGTTTCATGGAATTCGGTGCAAAGAGATCTGGGATGAGCGACGCAATCCGAGACCCCAGGGCGAAACCTTCAAAGGTCTGATGAAAACTGATTGCAATTAACAGGACGACAAAGGAGGTGCCAGTCGCAACACTAAGTGCCATGCCGATGAAGATGCTGTGAAACAAAATTCCAGCTTCTAAGAGGAGGCATTGCAGAAGCTGACGTTGTGGATTCTGGATTGGGCCTTCTGCGTCGGTCTGCTGTCGGTGGCTTTCGCTCACACGGGGTCGATGCCGGTGGACAGGCTGTGACTGCGCAGAATGGGCTGCCTGTCCACTGATGAGTCCGTCGTCATCCATGTAGTCATCTAGCCCATCAAGGTCATCCCCATCGTCCTCTTTATCCGGTGATGAGTCCGCCAGGCGAAGACGGTCCGATTCATGGGACGGACCGGAAGCTCTTGTCGTTCGCAACTTGGAGTTGTGCCCCATACTATCTAGAATGATATTATCTGAAACCTGCCGGGCCTCTAGCCTCGAGTAGTCGAGATCTGGACTTTCCCCATCACTGCTTGAGTCATGCCCAACCTCGCCAATGAGATTATCATATTCGCTTCCGTGCACATGCTTTGCGCCTTTCATCGCGAAGAACATTTCCACAATAACCACTGCAAAGACCGATATCATTGCAACAAACCCTGGCATAGCACGATATGTTTGACTCCAAAATCGAGGGAGACATGGATCAGTCAGAGAGACGAATGCTGTGGGGAGCAGATGGACGAATGCCGTCGCAATCAATACACCCGTTCCAAAGTGTCTCGATATAAAGAGGAACCGACGGGGAATCGGAAGACGAGGGAAACGGCGCGCTAGAACCGGAAAAGAGCAAGCTATTGTAGTTTCAAAATCAGCAATGGGCAGCTTGAGAGATCCGAGAGAAGCCAGTGCATACCGAATGTACTCAGCCCAAGGATGAGGAACAGTGCCATAACATGCAACGGAGTATTATAGGCGCCCCGCTGTTTGGATCCGCATGCCGGAGTGTCATCTGAAGCTCCATCTCGCCGAAGAAGTTCTGCTCGCAAGAGAGCATCGGGGATTTCTGAAATTGCGGAGAAGGCACGCTTCAAGTCTGCTCGCAAGATAGTTAGAAACGGCTCACGATCAATTTGTAGAGATTGTTAACCTGAGGGTAAATAATTTTCAGTCTGCCAGTCTTGGGCATTCTGCATTTTGTTATCGTCTCAAACCTGTTGAGCTGTAACTACATCCCCAGTTGGAGAGGGGAATGAATGTTTGTAGGCCGGGGAACGGTGAGTCAGGCACTTGAGTTTAAGACAAAGATGAGATTGCACAAAATGATATACCAGCTAGGAAGCTAATATCACAAGTATAAGTATTCTCTTAAAAACCAAAAATAACGAGGCCAGACTAAGGTGGTTTTTCGGACACGCGATAAAGTGAGTTGACTCCGGCCTCTCCCTTCGCTTAGTCATAAAGACCTCCCAAATGGGCTCCCACGTGGGCAATACGAGTCCTGTGATTTATTCAAGTGACCTCAGGGAGATATGATGAACGAAATACTTATTACACTGATCCATGGCCTCTATCTGCTACCTTAGTCCATCCTTTGGTACCTTTGGGTCGCGGGGAAGAGGCATCATCATGGCCTGGAGTCCTCCCAGAACGTGTTTTTGAACTTTTGCTGTCTGTTTCCACCGATCCAGATTGAGAGCCCGGGACAACGACCTTGGGGCTTTGCGAAACAGATGGCTGAGGGGATTTCATGGCCGCATCATCCCATTCTTTTTCTTCTAGCAATTCCCATTCCGCACTGGCCATTTCCCCTAGAAGATTGGACTTCAATTTATCCACAATCTTGGTTGGGGTTGGGAGTTTCCACATTCGCATGAATTCAACTCCTTCCGATGCCCCCAGGAAAGAATGCGCCGTACCATGAGAATAGTGACCTAGCATAGGAAACGATGTTGTCCGCTGAATCGTGGTTCTGGGAGAGTCTTTGGCAGATTTCATTTGTGTCTGCGTGTCTCGGCCGGCAAAGGCTCGCATCAGAGTTGAAGGATGGGCTGGTGGAGCAATTAGCAGTTGCCACAAGCTCTTCCCGATATCGCAGACTTCCTCCCAAGAGTCCGATGAGAGGTGTATCCCTTGAGTTCGACATAACCATGCAACATTCCATGCCAGGAGGGTGGCTCCTTCAAGAAAGAAGGCATATGTTGCGGGATCCTCCTTCGCTAACCGGGGTAGTGGCTTATCAATGAAAAGAGGTCGTGGGTGTGGTGTGTGGGTGCGCGGGTCCACCGTCCTTGATGCAGCTGGACTCAATGACGCCTGGTAATCAGCTCCATCGTGACCGTCGCGCGAGCGATATGATGCTGAGGGAGTGTAGATTGTAGGCACAGGATAGTTTTTGTGAGGCAGTGTAATTTCGGCGGGAAGTCTCAAGGAAAGATAGTGCGAGACAATGATCAAAAGATGAGCGATGTTAGAAAAGGACGTGGATATCTGTTCATGTGGAATACCTGTACCTACCCTGTTAGTATGCCACGAGATGAATAACTGCTTAGAAGTGATAGTGGAAACTTGCCATTCATATCCCTCAAGTCAACGATAAAACCACATCCAAGCACATATGTTTCCCGACCTTGGCCCTTCTTCGTAGCCTTCCGCAGGCCATATAGATTGGCGACTTCTCGACAAAGATAAATACGTGACTCTGCCGTTTTGCTATGGAGGGAATGCCAAACGTGTTCCACCCGTTTGCTGGTATTTTGAACGCCCGTGAGGATTCCAGTTTCCCGCTCTTCTAGTTGAAATTTGGCAGATCCAGCATCTGACCGTCTGCGAGCTAGGGCCCCCTTTCGCTTGGCAATCTCGGTCTTTTTGGCTTCGACCTCTAATTTCAAAGCCTCGAGCTGATGGGAAACCAATTCTCTCTTTGTCAAAGACACTGCATGTCGAGTGCTTATCGTTTGGAGGGCCCAGCAGGGAGAGCAAGCCGTGTCCGTATCGAGCAGCTCTTGTCCATGGAGGGAAGGCTTATCGCAGGAGCTACCACAGGCAATAGCGGTCTCGATTTGCTTCCCGAGAACTTCTTTCTCCAGAAGAACTTGCGTGCTGTCGATTCGTAGTTGATATAGCTGATTGCGGGCACATGTGGGACAGTGGAAAGAAAGGCGGGATTGAGGGGCACGTGAGCATATAGAACAGCTCATCGCAGACACTTCGGTTTTATTTCCAGCTGTTCTTTAGGAGCGTAAGGGGCATTTCCATGTTGCGTTCCAGGATAATTATGGGAGCTACTTGAGTCGCCGAGAACCATGTAGAGGAGTGAGAAAGGGTCATCAAATAGATGCAAATCCCACATGACTCAAATAATATGTTGATATAAAGGATATGACCGGCCTCAAGACATCACCTTTAGCCAATCTTTCTTTAGAGGAAGGAAGAGAAGAAAGGACGGGATGATGTGCACATGCACTTGTCGACGTCACCTGACACTCCGTTATCGCAATCTTATCGCTCATTTTGGATAACGTAACATCCACCAAAACAACAGTGAGGCCAAATTCCACTGAAATAATCATTGGCTTTGAAAGGGCTGACATATGGTCATACCAAGTCAGCCAATACAGTATGCAATCAACACCAAACAAGACCAGCAAAATCCCTCGGCCGGGGGCAATGTCACCCCGTGTCAGTCAAGGAAGCAAAAGCCCTTCAGGCAGTGGGAGCTTCCAAGAGAACAAAAGCCCTCAATCACCAGTCGAAGCTCTTATGTCCGCACCTATTAATGATGAGACTCCACTTGTCTCTAGGTTGACACAAGGTCTTGAAGACTGCAACTGGGAACAGCTGCAGGGCAAATATGCCGATGCGATGGAGGAACACGGCCGAGTCGAAGAGAATCTTCGTGTTGAAACGGCCAAGCTTCTTGAAGTAAGTTTTAGAATGTCTTACTTGCAATTTCATGTCTAAGCAACCCCGGTAGGTTTTCATGGCATGGTCGCAAACTACCGTTTCGCAAGATGAGAACAGGGCTTTGAAAAGGTTCGATCAATCCAGCTTTGGCGTAAGATGTGGATGAACGAATAATCAATCCTCTACAGGTTCAAGACCCAAATGCAGCACGTTGAAAATTCCGAAGTCAGCGTCGAAAACAAAAAGAAGCATTGTAAGTCCCTTTTTGTCCCTTTGACTTGAAAAAAAAAAGGTCTGATCGCTCATCTGTCTGAAGATGCGGAAGTAGTAAAGGCTTTCCAAAATGCTCTCGCCTTGCTGAACGATCAAATGAAGGTTTGAGCACATGATCGGCACGACATTTATGAATTATGAGTTTATGTTACCCAGTACCTTCTACATGAGAATCGATCTCCCAAGACGGGAATTGAGGAATTGAATCAGAATGCAGGAAGTCAATCATTATGTATTTCCTCCCTTATGAGATGGTTTGAAAGGAAAAAATAAATACCCTCTTCCTCTTCCCCCCCAAAAAAAATGTACTACAAGTAAAGAAAAACACGGTTGGAACGTTTGAGAGTCATTCAAAGGGAACTACTAGGAACACAGCCGTGATTGTAGGCAAAGAAATTACAAGTTGATTTCTTTGCTAGTCTCGGTGACTATGGGGCTCTGGGCTCTATCTGGGTAGTCATCTCCATTTGTAAGAGCTCGATGATTAGCCCCGAGAGCGTTCACTCCGGGCAGCTCTCCCTGTGATGTCTTGCCAGCTGGCATTGAAGCGTCTACCGGTATTGGCCAATAAACCTTCCTCTTCGGCTTCCTCTGCATCTTCATCAAGTTGCACTTCGTCCAACTGAGGTGAACGAAGAAGGGAGGTAACAAAGACAATCAGATATAAGCCTGTGGTGTTGGTGTTAGATCAATACGAAAATAGAATTCTGGTAGGATCGCAGCAAATTTAGACTTACCTAGGAAGAAGAACTGAGCCCAAAAGAACACCACTCCAAAGAATGGGTAGTTGAGAGTGACCCGATTCAAGAATGTGCTCACAACACTTGGTGTGCAAACTTGCCGCGCTGCAGGATTCTCCGCCAACTCTGAGCATGGCTTGATAAGTTCTTTGCTGTTTGAGCAATCTGGCTTTCCGATGAAGCTTCCCGAAGCGCGATCACAGAATGTCTGTGGGCCGAATGTGGCATACTGGGGGGCGACTACCATCGAAATGGAATAATTCAGGGCTAAAATGATCAGCATCAACATGGCGGTGGCTAAGAGTAGAGCCTGGGGAGATGTGTGGCCGTTTCTGATTTGAAAAATCCTGATCCATAGAAAGCGGATTCCAACCACTGCGATTCCAACCACAGAACTGCAGAAGAATAGCAAGACAAGTGCGGTAAATATAGCGTAATCAATGGGGAAGAACCTGGCAGATTTAACAAGTGCCCAGTTGACGGGGTTAAAGATGTTGACATATGCGAGGATGTATCCACAACGATGCTTGCAAATCGAGTTCTTTGCTTTGTCAATTGCCGTCAAGAGCATGGATACCCACGTGAGGAAAGCAATGAATAGCAGCAAGATGCCTCCCAGGAGCTTGAAGGGCCGGAACACTGCCCCGGTTTTGTACCATGCCCTTATCAACCAGCTGCGGCCTCCGCCTTGGGATTCTTCCGCTAGACGTTGGCGCCGGATCAAGGTCCTCTCTTCCCGCACCAGTGTATCAAGTTCTCGGCGGTCCTTGGAAGACAGAAGCTCGGGATCTCCGGCACATCGTCCTTCGAGCTGCCTTTGTCGCTCTTGGTTTATGTTAAGTTGTTGCGCAGTGCTCACTCGCATGGTAGCACTAGAGATTGATGGTGCAGTCTTGATTAGGCTGATTGGCAAAAGGGCCAGCCCCACGGATGTGTATAAGACATAAAGACAAAGCCCAATCGTCATCAACAGACCAAGAGCAAAAGTGAGAGCACGCTCGCCATCTTTTCAGAATTACATCAGCTTCACAATTCTGTTCAATACCAGAATAGGCGAATACTCACGGTTTTCGGTCAGTAAGCGCCTGAAGTAATCCAGATCCATGTCATTCTTTCCCTGTGACACTGGAACGAAGAAACCAACCAGGAACAAGATCACGACCACTGCAACGAATGAAAGTGTGTATTTTAGGGCACCCCAAATTCGTTGGCCCAAAGTTTGGACCCCTTCCTCGGCCGCAACTTCATCATATTCCTCATACCAGAAATATGTGAAGGGGATAACGAGAAGACAGAGCAGGGTATCCAAGGAGTAGAGAAGATAATAGATGACGGTCAAGGAATAAGTGATTCTGTCCACCACATCCTGTGTTGCCCAGTCCTTTCGCTGGCCTAACTTGGACGACGTAGTGGATGATACCAAAGCGACATCGACAGGCAGCAAGAGTACTGTTGCAAGAAGACTAGTAATTGAGATGATACAAGTCAGAGTGACTGAAGGCGAGCGGTCGCGAGGAGTTTGGTAGACATAGATAAACACCGACGCCACTGCCAGTAGAATAGCTACCACCACCCCATATACAGCCCAGATGAGGGAAGTCTGAAGGAGTGCCATATTGAAGGATAGCAGTTCACACTGTGCACATTGGTTGTGGAGTCTGCATCAATACTCCTAGCCAAATACTGAAGGAATGATGCCAGGAATGAGACTTACGATAACATCAAATCAAGAAAAATGATCTTCCCGAAGCTGGCGATCGCCTATGTCGTCATTGATTGTTTGACGCTAAACCATTTTTAGGCATAAGCAGCAAAGGGCGGTAGGATTTATTAGGCAGAATATTTTGGCCGCTCGATTCTGCCAGACCAGTCAGCTGACCCGCTCCCATCTCCGCTTTGATTCCGCTTCAAAGGAGCTACAAACTTGACTGCACAAGGCAGAGATCAATCTTGATTTTGATCTTGATCGCTTCTCGTGTCTATTTTGAACCCTTTCTTTGTGCCATCTTTCTTGGCACTTGGAAGGCTTCACATTCTCCGTTTTCTGCCTCTGCGTTTACAATTGCAATGTGCATCTCAGGCCATATCAAAAAACACAATTTAGCTCATTGGCAGTTTCCTAGCAGTATCAAGCCTTTCGCAAGCTCTGACGGTGGACAAAGTCTCTAAATGCAGTGCTACACAGAGCTATTACCCCCCACAGGGGTCACCCATGCTTTGGCAGTTCCTTTCACCTCAGCCACCGCCAGCAATTTGATTGTTATCAGAACCTCTCTATTGCAAGTTTTCTCTCTCGTTAAGGTGGTCTCCTCTCAACCACAGAAGAAAAGTTCGGAGCCCCATTCTTTGCAATTTTCTCAACCAGAAACGAAATTAGTACTGGAAAAAGAATACCCGCTATCCGGAACCGTGACTGACTTAAGCCGAGTCAAAATCTTGAACACCAAGAGTGGTGGAGAAGCCATCTTGGTTGCAGTCCGCAATGCCAAGCTCAGCTTAATTGAATGGGACCCTGAACGTCATGGAATCTCAACAATTTCCATCCATTACTACGAGCGGGATGACCTGACCCGCAGCCCCTGGGTGCCTGACCTGAGCCGGTGTGGGAGCATTCTGAGTGTTGACCCAAGCAGCAGATGTGCGGTGTACAACTTTGGAATTCGCAACCTTGCGATTTTGCCCTTCCATCAGGCAGGTGATGACTTGGTGATGGATGACTACGATTCGGAGCTTGACGGAGAACGCCCAAATCAGAACTCTGGAGGAGCACATATTGAGAATAGCAAAGAAGGACCAATACACCAAACACCCTACTCCTCGTCTTTCGTCCTGCCATTGACTGCCTTGGATCCTTCATTGTTACACCCTATAAGTCTTGCGTTCTTATACGAATACAGGGAACCAACGTTTGGAATTTTATATTCTCAAGTCGCAACATCTACTGCCCTTCTCCATGAAAGAAAGGACGTGGTATTCTACGCCGTGTTTACGCTTGACCTTGAGCAGCGAGCTTCTACCACCCTTCTTTCGGTACCTCGTCTTCCCAGTGATCTATTCAAAGTCGTGGCACTCCCACTTCCAGTAGGAGGTGCCTTGCTTCTTGGCTCAAATGAAATCGTTCATGTGGACCAAGCCGGTAAAACCAATGCGGTGGGAGTTAATGAGTTTTCAAGGCAGGTTTCTTCATTTTCAATGACCGACCAATCGGACTTGGCGTTCCGTCTCGAAGGTTGCATAGTTGAGCGACTTGGTGGTGATAGCGGTGACCTACTCCTAGCACTTGCATCCGGCGACATGGCATTGATCAAATTCAAACTTGATGGTCGGTCTGTCTCCGGTATCACTGTTCACTCCCTTCCGGCGCATGCAGGTGGAGATATTTTGAAGTCGGCCGCCTCCTGTTCCACTTGTCTCGGGGATGGAAACGTTTTCATCGGCAGCGAAGATGCCGACTCGGTTCTCCTAGAATGGTCGCATTCATCCGCCTCGATTAAAAAAGCCCGGCTTGAGTCGAAACAAACAGCGGATGGTCTGGATGGTCTGTCGGATGATGATGACCAGATGGAGGATGATGACCTTTATTCCTCGGCGCCTGGGCCGACACAAGTCGATAATCGCATGGGAACCGACAGCTCAACACCCGAATTTTATAACTTTCGACTGAACGATCAACTTCCTAGCATTGGTCCATTGAGGGACATCACTTTGGGCAAAGCTTTCTCGAATACGAACCACCAAAGCCAAGCTACAAGTGAAGGTGTTGCCGCAGAACTGGAGTTGGTGGCATCTCAAGGCTCAGACAGAGGCGGTGGCTTGGTAGTCATCAAGCGCGAAATTGATCCTTTGACTACCATGTCTCTCAAAGTCGATGACGCGGATGGTGTATGGTCAGCCAGCGTCCAAAAAAGGAGAGGGCCTTCCAGCACAGACAACCCCTCTCGTCAATATGTGGTTATCTCTCGGTCTACGGATTCGGAGCAGGAGGTGAACGAGGTCTTCGTCGTGAAAGAACAAAGCTTGAACCCTTTCAAAGCACCAGAGTTCAACCCAAATGAAGATTGCACGGTTGATATCGGATCTTTCGCAGGCGATACTCGTCTAGTTCAGGTTCTGCGGAATGAAGTCAGAAGCTACGACATAGGTACATTCTACTCCAGCCTGCTGGCAAGCATTGCATAAGCTAATGGTGAAAATCTATAGACCTGGGATTGTCACAAATTTACCCCGTTTGGGACGAAGACACCAGTGATGAGCGTGTGGCTGTGAGCGCCAGCTTTATTGATCCTTATCTTGTGATTATTCGGGATGATTCATCAGTATTGCTTCTGCAGGCGGATGAAAGTGGTGACCTCGATGAAGTTCCGCTTTCAAATGAGATTAGCTCGTCACAATGGCGCTCCGGATGCCTTTATCACGATAATTCACAGTCATTCGGCGTTGCAGGCTCATCGTCGAAGGACTTTTCAGAAGGCGAGGTGCTTCTATTCCTATTGAATTTGGAGTATAAGCTATCGGTAGGTGGTCGCAAAAAAGAAGATTTAGGCATTGGTTCTGACCTACATTATAGATCTTCGGACTTTCTGACATGAAGTTGATCGCGATCATTGAAGGCGTCGACTGCTTACCACCCGTATTGTCGACCGAGCCGCCCAAACGATCCAACAATCGGGAGACACTGACAGAATTTGTTGTTGCCAATCTTGGTGATAGTTCTAGCCTTTCGCCTTATCTCATTGTATGAAACCTTTTGTCAATGGCTTTTCTGATCTCTAACTCAAGAATTCTAGGTTCGAACCGAAAATGACGACCTAGTGTTCTATAAACCAAGCCTAGTCCTGACAAATGCTGGTCATGGATCGTCTCGTCGCTTGCAATTATTCCGAGAGTCAAATCATGTTCTACCGAGGAGCCCTTCAGGGGAGGTATCCTCTCAAATACAGAAACACCAGCGATTGAGACCCCTGAGGGTTCTTTCTAATGTCTCAGGGTTTAGCGTCATATTTATGCCGGGAGCCTCATCAAGCTTTGTATTTAAGACTGCAAAGAGCTCGCCGCACATCATTCGTCTTAGAGGAGGCTTTACGCGTTGGCTAAGTCCCTTTGATTCGGCCGATATTGGCTGTGAAAATGGATTCATTTACGTTGATTCTCAGGTGAGACTTTTCGTTCACCGTTGTGATGCTATCACCATTTACTAATCCTGTCTTTGTAGAGCTGTATCCGGGCTTGTCAACTACCTTCTCAAACTCAATTTGACTACCCGTGGACATTGCGCAAAGTTCCAATTGAAGAGCAGGTCGATTTCTTGGCCTACTCGACGTCTTCTGAGACATATGTTCTCGGCACAAGCCGCCAAGGTGACTTCAAGTTGCCGGAGGGTGATGATCTGCACCCTGAGTGGCGAAATGAAGGTTCGTGATTGTTTCAACCGTTTTCCCATCATGCTGTGCTAATTTTAATCTCAAGAGATATCCTTTTGTCCGAAGATCCCCGAAAGCAGCATCAAGGTCGTCAGCCCAAAGACATGGACTATTATTGACAGGTAAACCCTCTCCCTCCCCCCCCCCCCGGCTCCCCCTCCAACCTCACCAAGAAACTCAAGATGTGACAAATCCAAATACTAATATCCATAGTTATCCTCTGGATCCCGATGAGCAGGTGACAGCGGTGAAAAATGTGAACATTGAGGTTTCGGAGAATACGCACGAGCGGAGGGATCTAATCGTGGTCGGAACCGCCATTGCTAAGGGAGAAGATATGCCAGCTCGCGGGACGATCTATGTCTTTGATGTGATCAAAGTGGTCCCAGATCCCGAAAAGCCGGAGACAGGCCGCAAACTCAAACTGATTGGCAAGGAGTCAGTGAAGGGTGCAGTGACCGCGCTGTCTGGCATCGGTGGCCAAGGGTTCATAGTCGTAGCCCAGGGACAGAAGTGTATGGTCCGAGGTCTCAAGGAAGATGGGAGCCTTCTTCCCGTTGCATTTATGGACATGCAATGCTACGTCAATGTCGCCAAAGAGCTCAGGGGCACCGGCATGGTTATCCTAGGAGATGCCGTGAAGGGACTCTGGTTCGCGGGTTACTCAGAGGAGCCATATAGAATGACACTCTTCGGCAAAGACCCCGAGTACCTGGAGGTGGTGGCAGCCGATTTCCTCCCCGACGGGAACAAGCTGTACATGCTAGTTGCGGATAGCGACTGCAACCTGCACGTCCTGCAATACGACCCGGAAGACCCCAAATCCTCCAACGGCGATCGACTCCTCAGCCGAAGCAAATTCTACACTGGCAACTTCGCATCATCAGTTACTCTTCTGCCTCGCACAGCAGTTTCATCGGAGCTCGCCGAGTCATCCGAAGAAGCAATGGATGTGGATGAGGCCTTCGCCAAACACCAGGTTCTCATCGCTTCGCAAAATGGGTCTTTGGCGCTTGTGACGTCGGTTGCTGAGGAGTCATACCGTCGACTATCAGCACTACAGTCTCAGTTGATCAACACCGTCGACCATCCTGCCGGTCTGAACGCGCGAGCTTTCCGGGCTATAGAAAGCGACGGCGCTGCTGGCCGTGGTATGGTTGACGGCAATATATTGCGTCTATGGCTGAACATGGGCAAGCAGCGGCAGGCTGAGATTGCGGGCCGGGTTGGCGCGACGGAGTGGGAGATCAAGGCCGATCTGGAGACTATTGGCGGTGATGGACTCGGATATCTATGATGCCAGGAACGCTTTTCGGCGTATTACTTTTTAAGGAAATGATAAAAATCGACTCACTGAGTGAGCTTACTCTTTCAATTTGATTCTATAATGTCTACGTTCTCCGGAATATAAAAGAGAAGTGGGCAGCCCAAGATGGGATTTCAATATATGGCATAGCCACAAGAACATAGCTGAAGGGTTCTCGCTGCACCAAAGAAGCCCCATCACGATCAAGTAAATAGCATGATATCATAACACAATGGGATATAACTAAACCACATCCAAATAGGAGACAAAAAGAAGAACGAAAAAAAAAAAAAAAACCCCACTGCCAATCCCAATCCCAGTCCCAACGTGGGTAATCCAAGTACATCCAAACCCCATCCCCATCCAATTCCTACATGTAAAATCCAGCCCACCAAAGCAACCAAGTAAATCAAGTCAAAACGCCCAAGCACGCCACATTCGCCATTTTCGCCTTGCACGATTCGAATTCGAAGATTAAAATCAGATCCTTAGAAACCATCCACGCCCCCCTCCCCCCACAATGAGCATCAATATCAGTAACACATTCGACATGTCAGTTTGGAATCAACCATGTTTCGGACTTTGTGTTTTATGGACAAACACAAAGCCAAATCTAAAAAAAGCAGTGACAATCCCAAAAAATTCAAGAAACACCTCATCCTAGTGTGACAATGCAGATGCGAGAAGAGACAGACACCGCCCAGCGCCATTAACACAACATCCCAGTACTGGGGAGTTTAGAACACATCTTCTGCGGCAAAGTACCGTTTGCTCCGGCCTCTAGAGGCCACAAATTTCATCTCCGGCATGTTAGTGTGATGCACTACATGTGGTCGGTAGACAGCATCGACAGGGGCTTGCCAATCATCTATCCCGAGGGGGAAGTATTCGTAGAGAAGATCAGTGCTTTCGTTCGGAAAGGGGAGCGATGACGCGAATGACTGGGGCAGGTTGGCAGTCTCTAGCAACGGCATGGATGAAGCAACGCTCCGCGAGGGGGTTTGAGAGACAGCATGAGAAAGCTTGCGCATCTTAGAAGGCGGTGCAGATTGGTCGAGACTCAGCGATCGCTGATGTGACAACTCGGTAGCGAAAGGGGACACCATCTTTTGGTCAAGATGGAGATTAGGGTCACTGCCTTCTTCCTCGTCTAGTAACGACAAATTGATCGGTGCAGCGGCCGCTGTTGTGGAACTGACGCGGCGATGTGAGTCGGCCTGAGAGAGCTGCTCCGGGCTGGAATGACGGAACATGGACTTGGGGGCATGAGACATGACATTGTTTGATGCGGACTGTGGGATGGGGGTCCAATCCGGGGTTGCTTTGGTCTGCTGCATAATGCTCGGCGGGGGTACGGACGTTGTTTCAGGAGAGCTGCTCTGAGCGGTTGGCTTCGACTTGGCGGGAGTCACGCTGGCACGACGCGGGACGGAGTCGCTTGTTGGTGTGCGGTTCATGGCGGAATTCGAGGAGTTGGCCTGGGCATTCTTGCGCGAAGCGGCAGCACTCCCACTAAGGGGTAGATCTTTACGTGACTGGAAGTTGCGTGGGCTGCGACCACGAACGATGACGGGACCTGACTGCACCTCTGAGATGGGGATCTTCGCCCCAGTGGATAAAGTAGCGACCACCTTGAGCCGAACGACGAAGTGTTGCTGTAGCTCCTTTCGGCGACCGTTGTTGGCGGTCGCGACACGGAATTGTAGACGCTTCCAAGCGATAGGGAAGGTTACGTAGTCTGAATCCAAATCCTGACCCGCCATGGTGTCCAAGGGAATTGGGGGAGGCTCCTTCTCGATCTTAGCGCCAGTGCTAGGGTTGTTCTCCTCGGGTGCCGTGCCAGAATTCGCGGCGGCCGCCGAAGGCGTCTTCCATGGCACCGAGATAATCTTCACCGGGTTTCCTTCCACGGATTCTGTGGCTGATACGGTGAGTTCCTGTGCGAGGATGGGAATTCGGTCGCCTTGGTCGGTCATGATATAGCGCATCCCGCGGGGCAAAGTTACTGAGCCGGTAATTTGGAACAGATTACGACGATAACACGTCAACTCGGCACCTTGTTGTGGTGGGGCATTTTCCGAAGGGGATGTTGTATAGGGGGACTCGGCGAGAAAGAACATTCCGTGCAACTGTGCCGCCACCGATAAGGAGGTTCGGCGCATGGTATAGTCGAGGAGTGTGAAGTGATATACTGGTAGCGAAAAGCTTAACAGCTTGTTGTTGTGGTCGATCGACGAGTCCTGGGGTTGTTCCTGGGGCGCTGGGTCAAAGGGCGCCACCATCTCGGTGAAAGGGTCATCGTATGCGGAAGAGAAACGCCTCAATTGATGTGACAAATTAGGAGGCGCGAAGTTAGCAAGATCCTCACTATTGTATACCAAATTAGCAATAGAAAAAAAAAACAATTTCAATAGTCGAGTGGGAGTGAATGATCCACCCCCTCTCGTCCCACTTGGAGATCTAATCACCTAACAAAGGTCTCGGAATCGAAGTTGGACCGGTGATCCGGTAGATCCAGGCCAGACATGGCATTGAGATAGTCGGTACTCTGTAAATTCCCAAGTGACAAGGGACTAGCCAAATATGGCGGCATCGCCATAGTATCGAAGCCCTCCATGGTAAGAGCGTATGCGATACGGAGGCACACCCGTAGACGATGCGGGGGGACAGTTATAGAATTGCTTCTTATATAAAGACAGTCGAGTGAGAGAAAGAGGAGAGGGAAAGTAGTAAAGTAAAAGAGGAGAGGAAGATGGCAAGAGAAAGAGGTCAGACGAAGAGAAGCCCAAGGATGACTAGACAAGACCTGGGGAATGCTGCAAGCAACGGAGCGGAAAGATAGGCTAAGGCGGGAGTGAAGGCGGAGAGGACATTTGAGACGGAAATGGAAATGTCAGACTTATAGTGGATATAAAGGGTATCAAGAGGTATTAAAGTGTGTACCTAAAGAGAAAGAAAAGAACAAATCACCGGAGAGAGAGTGTGTGAGAGTGGGAGTAAGAGAGAGAGAGAGAGGAATCTCGACCTTCTGCACCCAAACGATCAACGGATTCGGGGAATAGTGGAGCCGCGGTTTTTGCGGAGAACGAACGCAGCGCTGAGTCAGCTTTTATTTTATTTTTATAGATAAATTCATCCATGGTAATTCATATAATTCATATAATTCATATAATTTCTAGATTTCTAGATTTCTAGATTTATGTTTAATATTTAATATTTAATATTTAATGTTTAATGTTTAATGTAATTTTTTAAATCATTTTTGGTACAGAGTAGTACGGAGCATCTCAGGCACCCATATCCAATAACAATTAAACATGCAAATCCCTCAGCACCGATGGGGTAAGACTTGATCGCCGGCTCTCGGCAATCATCTCTCTCGCTGGGCCCTGAAGATCAACAGATGTTTGATATTATATACAATCACTTCCATTACTTTGTGTGGCAATTCTAATACAAGTATAGTCTGTATAATCTGAAATATTAAATTTCCCTTCAACGAATACCCACCTGCCTATTAAGGTACTGCTGCTTCGGGTCGACCCCCTCCTCCTGAAAACGCCACATATTAATAACATAATTCATAATATTGGGGTGATGAGTACCTAAAGGTTGTTGCTTTCTTATGTCTACTATGTAGGTCTGAATGAAAATATTAATTGGCTAAGCTTGCTTTCTACAATATATCTACATAATAATTCCTTTTACAGCTCAACAATGCGATCACATTCGCCTCAAGGATGATCATCATCGGCCGTCTGACCTGCAGCTGGAGGGGCCAACTGGCATCCAATCAGAAGATGCGGCGCATTGGATCAGAAACCAGTGCCCCCGTACTCTGCTGGACCCTGTACTTTGGTTATTAGCGCCCCACTGAAAACGGTAATAATAATCTGCAATGTTATCATGCATGTAATATTGTGAGCAATTAGATAAGTGCCTCGGTAGCCTAAACAAATTGAACTGTTTAGTCTTAGGTCCGGCGATGTCCGTGGATCTCCTCCGTTCTCCATACAAAGTTCCAAGGTTCAAAGTTCATCCTTCATATACCTCCTTATTGCAGTATGTATATGTAGCTACTTATCCACGGTACATGAGCACACCTTTTTTTTTTTCTTTTTTTCACCTGTCTTAATAACCTGAGGAAATTCTCTATATTTCAATAAAATAAAATCGATTATGGAAGGAGATACAGGATGGTCCAGGGTGGGGGATGTCAGACGGTAAGAGAGACTGGGAGATTGAGTGGCGAGAGAGTAAAGGAGAAGCTTCCTCGTTTTCGCATGTGAACCAATGAACAGTATGTGCATTTACCCGATTTGATTATTACCGAGATGATCTCCTCTTTTCTTTTTTCCTTTTCTCATTCTTCTTCCGGCGCGTTTCCCCATGCAGCCTACGAATGTATACCAAGGTTCTGACCACGGGAGCCATCCACACTTGATCATGGGCTCGTTCCAAGGTTTAATGTTCTAAGGTTCCAAGGTTGAAAGCTCTTTCAACGGTGTCAGTCTAACCTTTGGGTTTGGGCCTGAGATCTCGAAAAGCTTCACACATATAGTATGAACATGAAAGGGTATGTACGACTTATATTCTGAGGAATATCTCTCTAACATGCCTGGAATCATAGATTAGGAATGTAGAGACCTCTAGGAGACCAGTTCAGCTTCAGCAAAAAGAAAAAAAAGAAAAAAAAGAAGCTCCGCTTGTACAACTGAGGGATTTTTAACGCAAACAGAAAACTAAATTGGTTCAAACTCTGAACGCAGAAAACTCATTGGCCCGGGTCAAAGTTAGGCCCCGAGGCCCGAGAAACCTGTTTGGTTTAAACCTGTGATTCTATATAGAAAATATAGAAAACAACTACCTAGGTAGAGAAAGAGAGATGAAGAGAGAAGAATTCTTCTTTATATACTAATTCCCCTCTAATGCCACATCTTGAAAAAAGATGAAAGAAAAGAAAAATAAAAACCAAGGCTCATAACACAGACCCTGGTTTTTTTTTCCCTTTTTCTTTTTGAATCCCCCCCCCCCCCAAAAAAAAAGTGGATGCTTGGCTTTTGCCCGGCGCCAAAGCGGAGTTCCGTTCTAAGCCCACAATTCCCACAATTCCCCCATAAAACCCTGAAGTTAGAAGTGCATTTTATGAAGTACATCTAGTTTAGCCATGGTCAAGCTCCAACGGACTTCCGGTCCAGTAAGATCTCGACTTTAATCGTGATGCCTTCAGAGACCTAAAAGGTAATTAGAAGTAATATTCCCCGGCTTAAAATTAATCTTAGTCTTAGACATAATAAGTTTAGGGGGAACTTGTAGCTGACGGATTAGTCTAGGTAAGAAGTACGAAGTACATAATGAAACAAGTTCTTTCTTAGATATACCTGAGTCCCTATAAACCAATCCATTCAACTCGAATCCTAGCTAACCATAGAATATTCTACATTTGCATTCTTCTATAATGCAGATATATATCTTCGTTGATCGCCAGTGGGAATCCTGTGATAATAGAAGTACTTATTCGATTGGACCGAATGACGCCAGGGCAAACTTTCCGTCCTACCTCAGACCAAGTGCCCCAAAATGAATCATTATAGGAAATATGTATGAAAAGAAACTCCTCGGAAGAAACCGTTACCGGATCGTGTGAAACAAAGAAAATGGACTAGGTCCAATTGAAAAAAAAAAAAAAAAGAAGAAGAAGATAGGATAAAATAAATGCCAAACCCAATGCGATATGGATATCATAGACGGGAAGAAAACAGAACCGAAAAGAGTAGAAAGAGAAAATGAAAAGGGGAATCGAATCAAGTCTGGTCTCTTCAACTATGCATGCATCATCGTCCACGTAGCTGCGTCACAGTTCACTTCCTCAAAACTGTGCAGCATAGTGAAGCCCATCGTGGAGAGATTGTCAAAGTTACTGTCACCGTCGACCTAGCTTTTGTTAGAGGATAAATGGAGAAAAACAAGGAAGCGAAGAACGTACACAGTCCATAATCACGGCATTGGCACTCAACTTCCGGATCTGTTTGATAGCCAGCAGGATCAGGCCCTGCATAACCGTGGAGTAATCTTCTCCGCAAGGAGAAATGACCGGAGATGAAATGCCTCCGACAGAAGCCTGGGTGGCGCGCAGCATGGGCATGTGTTCCGCCAAGGCAGATCGCTCATTGTAGATCACGATACTCCCGAGGATGACCCCGTCGGAGGGCCGCTTGGCCCGAATGATCCCGCAGTTAGGCGCGCCACCCAAAGCCATGCGGTAGATCTCGGCCACGCCCTGTCGCGCATATGTTTTAATGTGATCGAGGATCGCGGGCGCAAAGTCCCAACCATAGACGAGGTCGTATGTGACCTCCACACTCTGCAGGGTCGCAGTAAGTCCTTCGGGTGGCACCCATGTCGACAGGTTGCGTAGGATCACGCTGCACACTGGTCGCGAAAGCCCGGTGTTCCACCCCATGTTCGCGAACCATTGCCGTAGCCGCTTGCGCTCAACAGGGTTGACGGTCGGAATGCCAAGGTAGATCCCTGGTAATCGGGATCCTAACTGGAAGCGTTTCATCCCGCTCCGTTGAAGTAAAGTCCGAATCGCGCGGCTGTGAAGAGAATGTCCGATTGATAGTCTCCTTCGGGAGGGGTCCACGATGAGACATGCAAGCACACCGGTGCCCGTTGATCGAAAGAAGTAGGTCGCGCAGAATCCATAGAGGGCCTGCGTGCTACTGTTCCGGACAACGAAATGGGCTTCGTCGACATCCTCCTTTCGTAGCAAGAAGCTGCTAGCGGTAGCTCCAAGAAGTTCCGATGGCTGGCCTAGTGCATAGTCGGCACGGATAGTCTCGAGCAGAGCGTCCAACGCGAAAGAGTCGCGATCCTCGTTCCAATTTTCGACAAGCCAGTGCTGTCGAGACTGATGAATCTTCTGCGTTCGACCAATGGAGCCAGGCAGGGCCGCTGAAGGTGTCAAGTCGCCATACAAAACCTTGACCAATGCCTGGAGGGCTGTTTCCGTGAAGTCATACGTGCATATATAAGTACCAATGGATGAATCCATGGCAAAATCATATGGCGAGCTAACGGCCACCACAATCAATGGCCTCTCGCGGCGTTCACCGGATGAGGTATACTGCGATTGGCAGACCATGGAGACGTGTTTTGAGAACCCTTGCTGATATAGATTGCGATTTGCATCTGCCGTGACAACGACTACAGCACTCGCTCTTTGGATGAGGTCTTCGTGGATGGGACGCACGCCGTTGGAAGTATAGGAGGTGTGCAACACGCGCCCGTTCCTCTGCCGTGAGAGTGAACGTCCAAGTTCTTTGAAGACCCCCTCGCCACTCAGAATCGAGGAGGTTCGTTCCGAAGATAATGGATCCATTGACCCTGCGACCGAGAGAGAAACCGCGGACGTTGGGAGTGGCTTGACCAGCGGAGTCAGAAGCAAAAGTTCCTCGTCTGCCTCGATGACATTGGACAACGGAAGTAAATTATTCTTATCTCTCATGACTGTGATGGAAGAGTTGTAGGCTCGGGTGGAAAGGTTGGTATGCGAGGGTTGCATCTGTGTAAGGGAAGAAAGCCCCGGAGGGTTCAGTGCCTGTTCCCACGAAGTACACCGCACCTTCAAATCTAAAACGCGGCGCAACGATTGTTCAATTCGCTGACGGCCGATGATACCGTTCTCCACGCCAAGTTTCAACCCATTGATGGCTTCTTGCTGGACGGGGAATGACCGACATAAAAGGATGATATCGCAGCCGGCGTTTTTGGCCATCACTGTGCCACCTCCTACTCCAATGTTATGTGTGAGCGCCTCCATTTCCAAGCATTCAGAAATGACCACGCCTTGAAACTGGAGATCCTTTCTCAAGAGCTCGTCGACCACCTGATCACTCAGGCAGGCGTGCATTACGTTCATCCCAGCAGATGACAATGAAACACCTCCGACCATCATGGCGTCCAGGCCCTGAGTTATAGCATTGCGAAAGGGTACAAGCGCGCTGAGACTGAGTTGCTCCAGAGATTCCCTAATAATTGGGACATCCGTCTGGGAGCCGAGAAATTCCAAATTACCATAGGATGGAAAGTGTTTTCCACAGGTTACTAAACCTGCTTCTTGATAACCCCTCATGAACTGGACACCATATTGAGACGCCTCTTGGGGATCGTCGCCGGCGGTACGAACGCCTAATGGTTGATTTCGCACATTGGTTAAAACATCCAAAACAGGTCCTAAGATCCAATTGACCCCGACTGCCTTGAGTTCCTGTGCTGTTGCGACAGCCACCTCGTGAGCCAAAGATTTGGACCCAGTGGCTGCAATGCCCATGGTACTAGGGAATTGGCGAATATATATCTCATCATATAAACTGTTGACACCACCATTCTCCTGGTCCAAGGCAATTAGTAACGGAACAGGATGGCCTGCATCACGCGCAATGGTCTGCAATTCCAGAACCAATCTGGTTGTATCCTCGGCCGCTGTAAACGTGTCAGTGACTGTTCGAATTTACTGGCGACGGAGGGTACTTTTAAAAAGATACATTTCAGATTTTTGGCAGATAGCAGCACGGCACCCAAGTGGTAATTCTCAATAAGTGATCGAATCTGTGGATTGACTGAAGTTCCATCAAAGCCCATCATAAAGAGCTGACCCATCTGCCTGTGCCATGTCAGCGCGCCCGAGGTGTCATATTTCCCAAAGTGGAAATAATCTAAAATACCCTCCCCAGATTGACAACTAGGTTCCACAGTGAAGGGAGATATCCCGACAGGCAGATTTTTGGGGGGGAGGGGGGTAAGGTGAGGGTTAATGCCGATAGGGGATGAGCCAAGCAAAAAAGGAGATCGACATACCTATCTAGGTCCTCCCAGCCTGGGGGCAGCATATCCTCTTTCCGGGCCATGGCCCGAGGAGGAATGCCTGCAGCGGCCCAGAAAGGTAGGATGCAGAGGGTGCAGTGTTGGGAGATTCAAGGTGTGGCCGCAAACGTCTGACAGGTAAGAAATATGAAGCCGGTGCACGCGTCAGGTGACAAGGGGTAAAGGGTTGCAGGAGTCAAAATTTGGACCTCGGGAGCTTTGTCTTTCCCCCAGAGCCGCAAATGTTGGGGAAGAGCTGGGATTAGAGAGATAAGGGAGATAGGAGCTTAGTTCCCCCGCTGAAGAGGTCACGGGATATATCTTGGCATATTCTACTATGTACGGATTAGTTATATTATAATATCTACAAGTACCTAGGTTAAGAAGCACACAATCTTACAAGGTAAATATTAATACAGATGTATATGGACACCCCTGGGCATGATGTACATAGTAACCTTGCTATCATATCCAGAGAGTCATGTCATCATGTCATCATGTCATCATGTCCTCATGTGATCTGTAACTGTATGTAACTGTATGTAACTGTAATCTGGATCTAATGTCCCGTCATGTGATATCCCCAATACCAATACCATACCGACGTGGCTACAACGCTACCGCGATCGTAGGGTTGCACTGGGCACTCTATATTTCAATATGTTCGCCAGCTTTTTACCGACATCACCGGATGCAACTCCTACACTTCTCAAATGGAACCTTCAGACCACAATGTGCAATATGGAGCTCCATAATCCAATCAGAATGCCTATGTCCTTTTTTTTCTCCCGATGTCACACTTTTTGGCTTGATTGTTGGACCACATGGAATACACTCGAGTGGACCTTGATAGAAACCGTGGAATCAGAATGAAGTCAATGGGCTATCTGAACTCTTTGTCCATGCGATAACCCGACGTCAGTTCCTATCTGAGGGATATTGCACGTGGCTCTATACGACGTTCTCCTCTGTCACTGTCGTACACTCCACACTGTAACCCATATGGTCCCTTTTCCCTTGATGTTCTCTTTTCTTTCCCTTAGATAGAGTTCTCCTTCCCTTTCTTCTTCTCTCATACTTCTTAGTCTTACGCCAATCCAAACACTGACGTAATTATGTTCGTGCCATCTTCTCTATATCGCAGTCCGCCCTCTATACTAACCTGCCGGCTTCTCGATATAGGCGTGTCATTATCAGAGAAGATCCTCGTGAGGTGTCTGTTTATATTGCAGACTACATTATCAGTAAGCTGAAGTCCCGATCTTCGCCCTGATACGTGTATCCCATGCCGAGACTAACTCTTCCATCTTAGGCCGTATCAAGGCGTTCAATCCGACGCCCGAGCAGCCGTTCGTGCTTGGTGTGCCTACTGGTAGTAGCCCTGAGCTCATCTACAAGATCCTCGTGCAGCGTCATCGCGCCGGCGAGATCTCCTTCAGGAATGTCGTGACTTTCAACATGGTATGCGCAACAAAGATCACGAAATAAAAATGAAAAATAAAAAGACAACCCCTAACTCCCAATACAGGATGAATATGTCGGTCTGCCTCGCGATCACCCCGAGTCCTACCACAGCTTCATGTACAAGCACTTCTTTTCCCATGTGGACATCCCACCGCAGAACATTAACATCCTGGACGGCACCGCGACTGATCTTGTAGCCGAGTGTGCATCGTTCGAGGCACGGATCGCCCGCTATGGTGGCATCGAGCTCTTCCTGGGTGGAGTTGGACCAGATGGCCATATCGCCTTCAACGAGCCAGGCTCCTCGCTGAGCAGCCGCACACGCGTCAAGACACTGGCCTACGACACCATCCTGGCAAACTCCCGCTTCTTCGGCGGCGATACGGACAAGGTGCCCCGCATGGCTATGACTGTTGGTATCCAGACTATCATGGATTCCCGGGAAGTGGTGATTGTGGCCACCGGAGCGCACAAGGCTTTTGCCGTGCAGAAGGGCCTCGAGGACGGTGTGAACCACATGTGGACACTCTCCGCTCTACAGCTACACCAGCATCCGCTCGTCGTCTGCGATCGCGACGCCACTCTCGAACTCAAGGTCAAGACCGTGCGGTACTTCGAATCGATCGAGCAGGCCGGCACCGATGCCCGCACCCAAGGACCGGCTCTCGTTTACCGTCCTCGAACTTATGTCCCGGCCCCACTACCAACTAAGACGTCCAAGCCCCAGCAGCCTACTCCCGATGGCACCCCCGAGAAGGTGCCTAAGGATCTCCGTATCAACACTGAGCTGCAACGCCGCGCATTGGAGGAAGAGGAGCTCACCCCGGATAGCATGTCCTCGCGCCTAGTCGACTCGGCCATTGGCGGTATTGACGGTGCACTGAAGAGCGACCTTATCTTTGACCGCATGGGCACAAGAGTTACCACACTCTGATGGTGAGCACCTCAAACTCGTGTCATTTTCATTTCGGGGAGGGGGTTCTTTTGCTTTTCTTTTCTTTCCTTTCCTTTTTTTTTTTCCCATTTTATACGGAGAACGGAAATATGGGTTCTGTCTTGCAAATCATATCTGCATGGTCTCTTTTACCGCTTTGGCTTACAGGATCTATTGTTAAGGGGTTTCCCTGGTTATTCGCGACTTGATAGATGCGATGCGTTTTTTTTTTAGGAGTCAAGTGATCTTATCAGAAGATTTTAGCTATGGATAAGTCAAGCTGTGTACAATTAATTATGGTTTCCAAAATATATACGTGCTTGCGTAGCGTGATGTTATTCAGCATATATATATATGTTCGTTAATAGTGTTAGGATCTTCCAAGGTTGTCGGTTCCTTTCTAGAGAGCCTCGATACAAATATGTATATATAGATGCCCGAGTAACAGAATGAAGATATAAAAAGAGCTAAAATACTTGCTTAAAGTGGGGCTCAAATTGTCCTATATTCTGTACATTTTTATGCTCCTTGCTTTTGAGTACATTACATGATACATTAACATTATAGCTTGGCGAAGACACTCACCACGGCACCGCTCATATCGACCAGAGTGCTCTTGTTCTGCAGCCAAGCCTCAATACCGCGACGACCATTCTCCACGCCTAGACCGCTCTTCTTCCAGCCACCGACGGCCATCTCAGCAGGGCTCTCGCCCCACGTGTTCACCCAGGTAATACCAGCCTGCAGCTGGTCAATGATGCGGTGAGCCTGGTTCAAATCCTTAGTGAAAACACCAGCAGCGAGACCGAGCTCAGTGGTGTTAGCGCGTCGCACGGCCTCCTCGACGGTGTCATAGTACAGGATGGACATAACGGGGCCGAAGATCTCCTCCTTCACGATTGTCATGGAGTCAGTGCAGTCGGTAAAGACGGTCGGCTTGACCCAGAAACCGGCCTGCAGGTCCTTGGGAACCGAGGGCTTCTCGACACCCCCACAGAGCAGGGTGGCGCGGTCAGACTCAATACCATGGCGAATGTATTCAACGACCTTGTCGTAGTGGGCTTTGGAGCTAAGGGGACCAAAATTGGTCTGCTCGTCAAAGAGCGGGCCAGCCCGCACATATTGTATCTTTTCGAGTAGGCTCTTCTCAAAAGCAGCCTTCATGGTGCGCGGGACGAAGACCCGGGTGCCGTTGGTGCAGACCTGACCTGTGCTGTAGAAGTTGGCCATCATGGCACCATCAACGGCGCTCTCTAGATCAGCGTCCGGACAGACAATCAATGGGCTCTTGCCACCAAGCTCCATTGTCACGTATTTCATGCTGCCAGAAGCGGTGCCTGCGACCTTCATACCGGTTGCCACTTGGCCGGTGAAGGAGACCTTGGCGATGAGTGGGTGGCCGGTCAGGTAGGCACCGACATCACCGGCACCGTTAATCACATTGAAGACACCGTCGGGGAGGCCGGCCTCCGTGTAGATTTCTGCGAGGGTCTGGCCGTGAAGCGGGGTGTATTCACTGGGTTTGTAGATCATTGTGTTACCGGCGGCCAAACAGGCAGCAGATTTCCAGAGGGCACTAAGCATTTAGGTTAGCTTTTTCTTTTCTGGTTTATTTTATTTCTCGGTTGAAAATGAAGGAAGAGCTTACATCTGGATGGGGTAGTTCCAAGCACCAATGCCGGCACACACACCTAGAGGGGACTTCTTAGTGTATACCCAGGCATCCTCGCGGAGTTGAGTAGTCTCGCCGTTCAGACCACCACCACCAATGAAGTTGGCATAGTACTCCAAAACATCAGCACCAGTCGTAACGTCGACGGTGCTAGTCTCAGTAAAGGCCTTGCCGGAATCCAAAGTCTCGATACGCGCAATTTCATCGTTCCGTTCCCGTAGTAGAGCAGCGGCCTTGTGAAGAATGCGGGCGCGAGCAATTAGCGGGGTCTGCGCCCACGAGGGGAATGCACGATCGGCAGCGGTAATGACGGCATCGACGTCCGCATTGGAGGCAATTTGAATGTCGGCCAACGGAGTTGCAGTGGCGGGATTGATAGTTTGGAATGACTTGCCGGAGGTCGCAGGTTGGACCTTACCGTTGTAATAAAGCTGACGAGGTGGGAAGGAGAGGGACATGATTGAAAATTTGTGTATATATGAATTCCAAGCTTAGCTTAGGTAGAAGGTTATAATCGAACAAAAAGATAAGAGAAGTGATATGATGGGGGAGAATAATCCACACCGCCTTCTAGTTTCTCCGAAGTAAAAAAAAAAACCTTAGAACAACGGCTTATCTGAGTTCCGAGGTTGTGGATTAGGTACTTGGTACTCCACTCCCACGCAAAATTTGTACGTAACAGTCAAGTACTAAGTACGCCAACCTGTCAGCGGCTGTCAACGGCAGTAGCTGTGGCTGAAAAATGGCTGAAAAATGGCTATAGTCCTGCGCGGGGGTTAGGTTTGGACTAAATTCGTCTTTACGGAGTACACCTCTTCTCGCTCTCTCTATGGTTCGAATATCCCCACTCGGGAATTTCATACTAAGAAAGGCATATCTTAGCCGTGAAGCTCAAAAAGGTTACGTACACTCTCTATCTTATACAACATATATTCTTGAAACTAGTACCGGACGGAAATTCCTATCCTGGCCAG